TGCCTTACCAAAAAAACAAACAGCAACAACAAAAAGAATTCAGAGAAGCACCAGAATACTTCAGTGAACCATTTCAGAGCAGAATAAGCAGAATCATGTAAACAGAAGCAACCCTGTGCAATTAGAATAACCAAGCCTGGCCTAAGAGCAGGCCGGAGCATGGTTCTTGAACCACTCTTCTTTCTTTGCAGAGGTGGGTGTGGCTGGTGCTGCGCAGATACTGCCAGATGTGGTCAAAGTGTGCGTCAGTTTTGATAAGTGGCGTTTAGGTTTTTTGTTTCTTGGTTTTTTTGTTTGGTTGGTTGGTTTTTTGGTTTGTTTGTTTTTTTTCTACAAGAGGGCATGAGTGAGGTACATATTTGGAAATGAATTAGATGGAAAGCCAAAGGCATCAATTTTTAAAATTGCTTGTCCTGAGAGGCAGCTGGGGCGCAGTGGATAGAGCACCAATCCTGGTGTCAGGAGGACCTGAGTTCAAATCTGGCCTCAGACACTTCACACTTAATAGCTGTGTGACTCTGGGCAAGTCACTTAACCCCAATTGCCTCACCAAAAAAAAAAAAAAAAAAAAAAAAGAATAAAATTACTTGTCCTTTGAGTAGCTTTTTCATAGCTTCATCCCACTACCACTGACTTCAGGAATTAGAGGATCTTTTTGGATTCCCAGTCCTTGTGATGAAGCGCACTGCAGTCCCCCTGTCATTCAGGAACTGTTTTTGACATCACTCGAAAGCCAGCATGGTAGTCTAGGCTGTCCAGACTTAGCTAGGTCAGTCCTCAGACAGCAGAGAGTTCATTCTTGGGTTGGTAACTTGTTAGGGCTGCCCAGACCTTGAGCTCCGCTGTCCTAAGCCTTTGAGACCCCAGAGTTGCTGCCTCCCACACCCACCCCTCCGGCCACAGGGAGGCATCACAGTTTTACTGGAATGGAACAGGTTAATTATGTGGGTATGAAAAAAGGAGTGCCTGTTTTCATTATTACCATGATTGCATGCCAGTAGCCAAAACTATGGCTGTCAGCAAGGACGTTCCCAGGGGGAAGGTGTCAGGAGGAGGTAACCAATGTTTTGTATCTTTCCTGCTTTGGGCTTGCCAAACGTGCCAGTGTGCCGTCGTATTTGGAAAAAGAAAAGCGTTTGTCTTACAAACTCTTTCTTCTTGAAAAATGATTTCTGAGAGGTTTCAGAAAAGACTAGTGTAAGGCTTTCGTGACCACAGCCAGAATTTGAGCTGAATATCAGGAGATGGAAGCAAGTGTGATCCAGAGGGTAAAAACCCACTTGGAGGCCAGCATTTGTTTACAAAAGTCCTTGGTCTCCTGCTTGTGATCTCATCAGAACTCATATCTGATGCTTCTTACCAGACTTTTGGCCACGTGTTATCTGGGAGGTAATAACTCAAACTCTCTTTGGGAGGGGGAAGAGAAGGGAATGAGCATGTATTAAGTACTTGCTGCATGGCAGACACGGTGCTAAGCACTTTATCATTATTATCTCATTTTATCCTCACCCCAGCCCTGAGAAAGAGATTCTGTAAAAATGCCCATTTTACAGTCGAGGAAACAGAGACAGCTAGAGGTGAAGTGACTTGCCCAGGGTCACACAACTAGCAAACATGAGGTAGTATTTGAAATCAGATGCTCCTGACTCCAGGCCCAGCGTGATGCTCGCTGCCCCTGGAGTCCAAATTCATCAAGTTCTGTTACTGTGGTCTGTTCAGTTTCAAAAGATGATTTCCTTGGGCTAGATGCAGAGTAGCCAACAGACATCAGATGTTCCCCAGATCATGAAAAGAAATGTTCTTGTACACTCAGTCACATTTTCTTAAGTAGATTTATTTGAGTTTCATTTTATTTGAATTTCAGCATACTTGGCCCTTGAGTCTTAAAACTCTTCTTGGCTTCCCCCAGTGTTTCTGTTTCGATTATTTTCCATAGACTTGGAGCAGCATCAGAGCATTGCAGATTCTCTGAAGCCACTGGCGCCACTGATGGAGTTTTCACAGTTATTTTGGCCTGGGTTTTAGGAGTGAGACTTGAGAAATGGTTTTAAAGTCTTGAAAGCTAATGGGCCTTGTGGTGACTTGGGCGATGGTCAGTGCAAGGTCAGTGTAAATTTGTGTCCTGAACACAATTTAGAGGCTGATGTCTCTGGCCTGTGGAAAAGGAGAAAAAAGGAAAGGAAAGAAAGCCCAATTTAATGCCGAGTCCTTCAGCTTATTTTTGTCTCCTAAATTATTTGCCCATAAAGTAAAATCAAACCATTTGGGCTGAAATTACATGAAAATTTCACTTCATGATCATGTTTAAAGTCCTGAACTGAGGAGAAAAAAGAAGTAGACAGTTCATTCAACAGGCCTTTCTTGCGTACCTACTGTGTGCCAGGCACTGTGCTGGATCCCACGGAAAGGGGGAAGGGAACAAGCATTTATATAGCACCTGCTACGTTCCAGGCTCTGGATAAGTGCTTTATAAATACATCTCACTTGATCCTCACAACAACCCTGGGAGCCAAGTACTGTTATGATCCCCATTTTACAGTTGAGGAAACTGAGGTAGACAGAAGAATTGCTTAGGGTCACATAGCTAGTAAATGTCTGAGGCCACATTTGAACACAGATCTTCCCGACCCCATGCCCAGGGCTCTGTGCACTGTGGTGTGCCTTAGCTGCCTCAGAGACAAAAATAAAACAGTCTCTGCTCTCTGTTAGGGGAAAACAATAACATGTACATTGATAAGGAAATTCGTTGGTTTGTTCGCAAAGAGGACCAAAATGACATCACTATATTGGAGTTAAGTTACAGTGTGTCCGACTGTGGCTGATCAGACACAGTCCATGTGCACATTTGGGGTGGAGATGGCTCTAAATTTGCGCATCTCAGATTGCTTTTGAGCTACTGCAATTCTGCTCTGTTTATAGAGCATAGTGCCTTCTTTGACATGGGCACACCATGTTGGGCACTCTTGTGCCAATGTCTCCCATGTTACACAATCAATTCCAAAGTTGATAAGGAAATACAAAACATAAATACTATATGTATGTGTAGATATATAGAGACATGTAAAATAAATGCAAAGTGATTTGAAGAGTCACTAAACTGGGAAGATCAGAAAAGGCCTCAAGTGAGAAGGTGGTGTTGGAGTTGAGCCTTGATGATAGCCAGGGATTCTGAGAGGTGGGAGGTAGGAGCAGTGCATGCCAGACATGGGTGACCAAGACACAGGGGCATGTGTGTCCAGGGAGCAACACTAGGCCAGTGAAGAATAGCCAGTGGAGTTACTTTCCCAGCAGGCTAGACCAGCTGTATGAAGACAGAAATTATGCTCGATTATGCACAAGAACATTCATGACAGTAAAAAGTTGACTTGAAAAATTTTGAACAAATTTATAATATGTGAGGGTTTAGTAACATTTTGTTTTTAATTATTTTTATTTCATTAAATGTTTCCCAATCTCATATAAAAAAAATTTTTAACAATTTTTTTTTAAAAATTTGAGTTTCAAATTCACTCCCTCCCTCCCACCCCTCCCCTCTCCCTGAGACGGCAAGCAATTTCATTTTGATTATACATGTGAGGTCATGCAAAACGTATTTCCATATTAGTTGTGTTGCAAAACAAAACACAAACAAAATAAAACAATAAAAATAAAGTTTTAAAAAGTGTGCTTTAATCTGCATTCAGACTCCACTCTCTCTGGAGATGAATAGTATTTTTCACTTACAGGTCTTTTGGAATTGTTTTGGATCACTGTCTTGATTAGACACTGCCTTTCACAGTTGATCATCCCTACAATATGGCTGTTACTGTGCACAAAGGTCCGGGTCTGCTCACTTCACCCCGCATCAGTTCATATAAGTCTTCCCAGGTTTTTCTGAAGCCATCCTGCTTGTTTATTTTATGGTTTTGTGATCTGCAAACAGGAATGTTCTTTTTAAAACCACGGCATCTGTTTCCCTAAGTTACCCACTTTCCCAATCCTGCCAGAATTCAAATTTCATCTATGAGTATGTTTTATTTCTTTGGACAGTTGTACTATCTTTGAAAATAGAATAGTGAATTTTGGAATTCTTGGGAACTTTGGTCAACCACAAGGACCAACCACAATTCCAGAGGACTTGAGATTAAATGTTTTACCCACCTCCAAGGGGAGGAAACATTATGGCTCAGAAGGCACATTGAGGCATGGGTTTTATTTTCTTTTGGACAAAGGTAGTTTAAGAATTTGTTTTAACTTTTTTTTAATTATATAGATATAGGTTTTTATAATAACTATACTTGTTTATAATGAGTTTTGTTTTTATTGCTTTTTCAATGAGAGGTATGGGAGTGTGGGCCTGAAAATAGAATAAGATTTTAATTTTATTTTTAAAATAAGCTATCATGTTGGAATGGAAAGAACCCAGGCCTTAGAGTTAGCCCTGGCTTTGAATCAGTCTCTGATGTTGACCCTTGTGTGGGCAAAGTCTCTTCACCTTCCTGAGCCTTAGCTTCCTCATCTTGGAGATGGGAGTGATGAGACTTAAGGTTGTTTTGAAGAAAACCCTCTGTGAAAACCTTCAAGCTCTAACTGTGACGTATTCTCGAGTTACCCACCATGTTCCTCATCTGTGAAATAAGATAGTTGATCTTACGCTTCTGGATCTGGAGTAGGAAGGAACCTGCAAGTCATCTGGGCCAACGCTTCCATTTTACAGATGCGGAAAGGGAGGCCAAGAGTGTCGCATAGGTGATAAGTCAGTCCATTCTCAGGCTATGGTTCAGACTCAAGTCCTCTGGCTCCAGGCCAGCTTCTCTTCCCTGCATCATTTCAGCTCTGATATCCATGATTCTCGATGGCAGCCATGCTCATGACAAGCTGAGGTGATGGACAGAATGGAGCACAGAATGGCTCCCTGAGTAATTGTGGAATGTTGTGGAATGCTGAGAGAGCTGTTGTTTCCTGGCTGTACACACCAGACATATTTGTCTTATCTCACCGCTTGTCTTTCCCATCTCCAGGGAACCATCAGCATTGGAATAGATGCCACTGACCTCTTTGACCGCTATGATGAGGATTATGAAGATGGCCCAGGGCGCGGCTTTCCTCGGATTGAAATTAACAAAATGCACATTTCCCAGTCCATCGAGGTAAGGTCTAGCATCACCAGAGCCAGTGCAGGGAAGGCCCCTGGCACCGAGCAGCTGGAGGCGGGGGCGGGGGAGCTGTCTCATCTTTGTTGAGGAAGATTAGGAAGAACGAGCTGTGCTTATCAACCTTAATAATGATGGGGAGGTTGATAGCTGACATTTATGTAATACCTACTGTGTGCCAAGCACTGTGCTGAGTGCCTGTTACAAATATTTTCTCATTTGATCCTCACAACAGCCCTAGGAAGTGGGTGCTATTATTATCCCCATTTTAACTTGAGGAAACTAAGGCAGACAGAAATTAAGGGACTGGCCCAAGGTCATATAACTAGTAAGTGTCTTAGGCCAGATTTGAATCTGTGAAGCTGAGTCTTCTTGACTCCAGGCCCAGTGCTCTATCCACTTTATGTAGCTGTATATTATTTTTATGCCTAAATGTTTAAAGATTACATATTAAGTATTTATAATTTTATACTTAAAATGTATAAAAAACAAAAACCCTCTGGTTACAGCTAAACCTTGTTTGTGATAGTGTTTCAGACATTTTAGTAGGTACAAATATTTGGACTAATTCCTTCAACAAAGACCTACTGTGTGCTGAACACTGTGCTGGGTGCCCAGGATACAAAGACAAGAATACATCCCATTCTTCTGAGGAAAAATACCATGTTTGTTCATGATAAGCCAGTACAAACATATGCTAAGTAAAGGGGCAAAAGGCCTTGAGACTGCATGGTCAGATGTCTGTGGTTGTGGCTACTTGCTGGGCTTGGTCCTATTGATGGTCAGCCTGAAAACTGTAAGGACCTTCCTTTTCCAGGGCAGACAGCGAGGCCAGAAGGGCCAAGTGACCAATCCCTATCACACAGGTGGGAGTGACAGGGCCAGGGCTTCAGTCCGGGTGCTTTGTACCCCATTGCCTCTCATTCTATAAGTCTGAGTCCACGGTGGATGCCTAAATGCCCCACGTGACCATGAGAGGTGATTTTAAATGCAGTCTGGTGTCCCTTGGATATCCACCAGCCCCCTCTGTTTCTCTCTACACTGACTTCTGTACTGAGGTCACTATATTTCAGTCCCCTAGGCTCTAAGTTGTCTAAGTGAAGAGACAGCAGAAAGACCAGGGTTCAGGTCTTACTTCCCATCCATACTGGCTATGTAATTGGCAAGTCACTGAACCCCTCTCAGTGCCCCAGGCAGCTCTCTAAAACTGTCGGGCGCACACAAGCTGCTGATCTGCCATACTGTAAGAGATTTCGATGCTGGGAATCTCCTCTCCGCCCTCAGCAAAATCACAGAACTGGACTTAGAAAAACAAGTGGAATCACCATTCTGCAGGATGCCCATCCAGAAGACAGCGGGCCATCGGGCATGGCTCCTCCAGATACCCTGGTGCTGATTCTAGGAAGCTCATGGTCCTCCTAGAGCTGTCCAGAAGCCCTGAGGGAGGCCAGATGTTGGGCAGTCAGGACGGGCTGGGGGAGTCATAGATAGTACCCCCAGGGCAGTAAAATGAAAATGTCGCTGCAGTTTGGCACAGTAAGATCCCAGTTCTTACTGTAGGCTTCCCATGGCCTTGTGAAGTTGGGCTATAAAAGTACTCAGAACGTGTTAACTCGGGTCCCAGGCAGTCCACTTAGCCAAGTGCTACACCTGAGAAACGAAGAAAGCAGTTTAGGTGATCACACACTGCCACAGGCTGCTGATCGGGGAGTCATCTGCAGATTTGACTGCGTCCTTATAACATATTCATTAGGCGGCTGTAATCAGAACTGCTTATAGCTTTGGTTCATCCAGCAAATGTTGTTTCCCAGGCACCCTTGACAGCAACAGACACAGCCATCCTCTCTGGAAGCCTTTCGACACAGAATGGGAATGGAGGAGGTTCCATTAACTTTGCCCTCCGGCGAGTGACCTCTGCAAAGGGATGGGGAGAGGTAAGAGTGGTTTATTGACCAGGCCTCCTTTCTGCCCATCACAGACTGTTTGCTGGGTGTTGCCCAAACTGTTCGGTGGAGACCGTTTTGTGCAGTAAAAGCTAACCCCTAGGTGGTCTGAGGAGAGCCAGATCAGGGCATACGGCAGAGTCTAAGCTCCAGGCAAAGGCCACAAGTAAGCTCAGGCCTAGTGGCCATGCCACACTGATTTCTTAATTCTAGAGGGATTTTCTGTACTGCGCTAAGACAGGCAGGGCAGGCAGCGGCTTCTCTGTCTCAGAAGGAAGGCTGCCTCCTTGTCTTGGCTTGTTCTCTCTCAGGCTTCGAAGCCTGCCATCTTGATTGAGTCCCTAGATTAGAACCTGGGCGAGGAAGGGGGGGGGGGGCGGTGTCTAATGGCTGTGAGGGGTGAAGCCCCTCTGGCGGGGGTCATCCATATGAGACCTTGGTAGCAGCTGCGAGATGAAAACATCTCTAACTTTTCTTCTTTCTGTCTAAACAGTTTGAATTTGGAGCCGGAGACCTTCAGGGCCCCTCATTTGGCCTAAAGCTGTTTCGTAACCTTACACCAAGATGGTAAATTTAATATAATGCAATCATCTGTTTTGTTGCTCTTTGTAGATTTAGAATTGATTGTGACTTCTGATTCCTCTTGCCTCACATGATGCCAGGCATGTAGTAGCTGCAGTAGACATTTGTTGAATTGAATTGAATTGATTGCAGTAAATAGAGCCCTGTGTTTGATTTGAGATGATTGTGGTAACCAGGAGACTGTGATTCTCAAATTTTTTGGCCTAAGAAAAGATTGTTCCATAGTAGGGGAACTTTGTGATTTTTCTAGCCATGCTTAGTGGTCAGCTATATTTACACCAAGGCCTTAATAGAGAGACAGCGTCAGGCCATAGAAGAAGTGATGATGGTCTTGGAATCAGAAGACCTGCATTTGAATCCTCCCTCCTTGTCCCCTCTCGGGAGTCAGGCTGGCCCTCTGAGGTCCCTTCCAGCTTTACAGTCTATGATCCTCTGAACTGCCTACCAAGCCCACCTTCTTCGTCCTCGCTCTTTGTTACCATTGTCACCTCCAGAACCACAGTTGTGAGGTCCTAAGTTTCCCCGTTTTGAAGGTACCCATGCAAACTCAGTTTGAAGAACAAAGTAGAAAACAATACAAAATCCCTGCACTTTGTACAGACATAATAGAGAGGAAAACTGGCATGGTTTCAGGTATGAATGTGTTATTTTTATTTATTCCGAAAGAAAATTCCTTAGATATAGTATTCTTGTTCCTTTTTTCAAATGGGAGACTTTGAAAGCTTGGGGAGTGGGGAGAGAGGAAAAGAAAAGAGGAAAGAGGGGACAGAGACAAAGAGAGGGGGGAGAAGAGAAAGGGGGGAGGGGGAAGAAAGGGAAGGAAGAGGGAGGAAAGAGGGAGACAAAAGAAGAGAGGCATGCAGAGAAAGAGATGGACAAAGGGAGAGAGGGAAAAAAGAGGCCTACCGAGAGAGAAAGAAGGAGAGGGAGAATGTTGAGAGAAAAGAGAGATAAAATAGAGTAAGTTTACAAGCTTCGTGTGCCCATTTTAATGGCATGAAATACCCCTCTGTAGCCAGAAGATGGCACCAGCTTCCACTTTTAAAAATCTAACTCACAAAGAAATGTTAAAAGAAATCATAGACTTGACTGGGGATTCATATTGGAAATTGGAGTGGTATACGTCACATGAATGGGTGCCCCTTGTCAGTGTCCAGTCAGTGCAGCCTGAGGCAGTGCCCACCAGGCCTGGAGTCTGGACTGTGTCGCTGCAGACCAGCAGGATGATTGACTGAGAACTCCCCATCAGGCACTGCCTCGTTCCACCCCTGGGGGGCCTGTGACGAATGAAGTGCTGGTCAGTTCTGGAATCACTGGGAAGAGAGGGCGGATGATAGATATTGTGGCTGATCTCCTGCTGTCACTTCTTCTCCAGCTTTATTACGACCAATTGTGCTCTGCAGTTTTCATCCCGGGGAATCCGGCCCGGCCTGACCACTGTGTTGGCGAGGAACCTAGATAAGAACACCATGGGCTATTTGCAGTGGCGATGGGGCATCCAGTCTGCCATGAACACAAGCATCGTCCGGGACACGAAGACCAGTCACTTCACCGTGGCCTTTCAGGTAAGCTGCAGCGGAGGGCTTACCATGCAAGGAACAAAGTAACTACAGAAGCACCTCATCCCAGGCTTCAGGGTAAGGCCGTGGTGTGGTCACTGTTCCCTGTCTCGTCCCCTCTTTTCCTTTTTTAAGCCTGGCTGCTGTGCCTCATGGGGAGGATGTGACGTGGCTGGGCAGGTTCTGTCTGGCCAGCAGAGGTCACGTATACTTGTAGAACAGCTCGTTTGGAGGCTTTGAGGTCGTCCTCGATTTCTAATGTGAATGGAATAATAGTCCCCTCCCCCCAAGAGGAATGCTACTTAATGCCCTGGAAAAGCCCATATTCTGGTAGAAAAATGTATGGATTGCAAAGCTTGGAGGGCTTTTCAGCAGCCCAGAGTTAGGGGTACAGGCCAGACTGGCAGCACTTTGCTGAGAGGCCCAGAGCAGCTCCCAGGAGCTCATCATTCCCAGAATAACAGGACTGCCAGGCCAGTGAGAGGGAGCATAAGTATTATCTCCATTTTACAGATGAGGAAGTTAAGGCTCAGAGAAGGAAGGTGATTTGCCCGTGGTCAAATACCTTGTGAGTGCTGGAGGTCTCCTGTCTCCACTTCCAGAGCTCATTTTCCTAGAGTGCATTGCTAGAATTTTTATCCTCAATTCATTAGTCCTGACAGCTGTCACAGCTCCAGTATCCTGGGGACCCCAGAACACTTGGATTCAACACATTGTGAACTGCCCATTGTGTACAAAGGCCCACAAAGATAGGCCAGAGCTTGTGTCACCTGTGGGGCTCACAGTCTAGTAAGGGGTTCAAACACCAATAAGATTAACATCATATTTACGGTATTATAGGACAGATACACCAGATGAGGTTCAGAGGCACTATGATGTCTAATAGGAAAGGTCATTCATCGCCATTTGTCAGGGCTGGCTTCATGGGGGAGGTGATGTATGAGTTGGGTTTGATCCACAGAAATTAAGTGGGAAAAGAGGGGAAGGGAAAAACCTTTTAGGCATGGGATCAGTGTGAGCAAAGGTCTGGAGCACATGTGTGTGGGGTGGACAGTGGTCCAGTTTGGTTGGAGCATAGCGTGCCTGGGGTAGGGGGTGGGGGGTTATGAGGTAAGGCTAGAGTGATGAAGTCGTGCCACACACCTGGTTTTGCCAAGAAACAGTACTTAACCCATGTCCTTTCCCACTCTCTCTTTTCAAAGCTTGGAATCCCCCACTCCTTTGCATCGATCAGCTATCAATATAAATTCCAAGATGATGATCAGACACGTGTGAAGGGTTCTGTCAAGTAAGTCCCAGCCAGGTCATCATTGCCTCCAACAAAGAAGTATGTTGGTTTAGCAAGGTGTTTTCTGATCAGGTTGGGGGGCAGTTGGTATGAGGTACGTTGCTACATGATTTGGCCGATGGTGCCAGCTGCAGTTGGCTCTGATGATTAAGTAAAGTGGGAAAACGTCCGTTATAACTATACCTGTGGGTAGGAGGGATGTGTCATTGAGAGGGGAGGTCAGTCATTGTCTCCCTTCCCTAAAGAGAACACTGAAACATCTCTCTTGGTCTTACCCTCTCTCGTTTGGTCTTTCTAGGGCAGGTTTCTTTGGGATGGTGGTAGAATATGGAGCAGAGAGGAAGATTTCTAGGCACAGTGTTTTAGGAGCTACTGTCAGCGTTGGAGTCCCACAGGGTGTCTCTCTCAAAATCAAGTAAGTTGAGTCCTGGACGTTGGCTAGACATCTCACCCAAGTGGGAGCAGTCCCTGTGGGCTAGCCTTTGGTGGGCGGCTTCATCTCTGATGTGGAGTTAGTGCCAAGGAGACAAGCAGTTGTGGCCTCCAGTTGTTGGGGTCTGAAAGGAGAGCAGCTGCGAAAGAACAGATCCGTTGAAGTCCCAAGGCCCTGAGCTGGAGCCATTCAGACTGGCTTCACATCCACAAAACAGCCCTTCCATGCCGCGAAAGAAGCCTTTCTCATGCCTAGAACTAGTTGCATCACATGGTGTTGTCGGCGTGTAAAGAGTTTCTCTGCTGTTCACACACTGCAGAAATCTTTCCGATAAATTGTCTTTAGCTAATTGGCCATCCCTGTCCCGAGCTCTGAGTGCCACGCTCGTATTCGTCCAGAAGGTGGCACCAGAGCCCCAAAAGTGGACTCTACTCCTTGTCTACCTTTCCAGTTCTTGACAAACCGAGATTAAAACCTCATCACTCCTCGAGTACTCTCCCTTCTGTACGTTGTAAATGACACCGATTGAACAGAATTTCTGTTTCTTAGAACAGAATCCATACCCCACTTCCAAGCCTGGCCTGCAACGGTTCTTGCCATCCCATAGAGAACAGACTCAGTGCTTTACCCTTGAAACCAGCTGGTGCTGACGTCCTTATGGCCGTCATGTGTCTCCTACATGCGTTCCCACACTTGTGGAGTAGGAGGCTTGACGAAGGGTCAGTCAGAAGAGAGTTTGGCCCCAGAGCAAACTTATCCCGTGTGACTGAGTTACACTGTTTATCTGGACCCCACCCTGGGAAACTGAGTCGTCTTCTTCTTATTTTGTAGGCTGAATAGGGCCAGCCAGACTTATTTCTTCCCTATTCACTTGACGGATCAGCTCCTTCCCAGCGCTGTATTCTATGCCACCGTGGGACCTCTGGTTGTTTACTTTGCCATGCACCGACTAGTCATCAAACCATACCTCAGGGCTCAGAAAGAGAAGTGAGTTTGTCCTTTCTCCCTGGGACTGCTTTTGCCCAAGAATGTGCTGCGTCTATGGGATTGTGTGTCCTGAGCTCCCTGAAGGCCTGAGAAATGTGATGAAGAATGGAGAATGGGAGTCATTTGGTCGGAATCACTCTGACCTAAAGTCACTGCAAAAGTACTAGAATGCCACCAGATTTCATGGGATGAAGGGGTTCCCCAAGAGGGAGGGGGCAGTAGTGAAGATAAGGAGTGACTTTGCTATAAGAAAATTACAAGAGTAAGTTCAAGTGACCTTTAACAAAAACTACACAGTCCTGGGAGCTTTCACAGTGAGTTGAATTGTATCATATGATTCTCCTCCTTTACTGGGATTTAGTCTTTCTGCACTGGTGAGGTTTTGCTAGGGAGGGTCTGCTTTCAGAAGAGTCAGGTGTCCCCCATATTCCATTGGAGCAGTTGGGTGAGAGCATCATGAGGTCACATGAATGGGCTGTCCAGCTCTGCCTCACAGTGGGCATGATGCCACCTTGACAAGCCTAGCAGAAGCCCCAGAGCTCGTCATACCATCTGCTAGAGGGTGTGACAGGGAGGCCAACTCTTTGCACTCCTGTGGAATACTGCGTGGCTTATGTGTGGCTTGTGTTTTCTTTTGTAAGAGAACTGGAAAAGCAGAGAGAGAGCACAGCCACCGACATCCTGCAGAAGAAACAGGAGGCAGAATCTGCTGTGAGTGACCAAGGGCTGGGCCATCGGGCAGTGTGCGCTCGGTCCCAGGAGAGCACTTCCCATGTCTTTTGTCACCGTGGGCAGTAGGGAATGCCGGGGGCCCTGCACATGACTGCCAAGGGTGACTCGGACCCTTCATATGATTGTTTTTAATGCGTTGATAATTAGCTTTTCTGCCCTCTCACCCCCTCCCCATTGCCAGTGACCCCTTCTGACCCCTTCCTTATGACAGAGTTAACACTTGTCTGCCCTGGTGACTGCATCTGGCTGCAGCCCAGCCTTCCCCTCTCTTAAGGAGGAAGATGTGCGCTTCTTTTCAGGGACCGAGACTGACCTTTGCAATTAGTCCGTTTGGTTGACTTTTAGTACCATGTTCATGTACTGTATTGTAGTCACTGTGTACGTTTTCTTGGCTCTGCTTTCTTCATCCTGCATCAGTCCATGTGTCTCCTCAGGCTTCTCCGAATTCTTCACGCTTGTCATGTCTTCTCAGTGCCCTTTTATGTTAGGAATACCACTGTCGTGTAGCTGATGAGCCCATCTAGAGTTTATGGCGGCAGGGCTCGTGATTTTTTTTTTCTTTTTAGTGAGGCATTCGGGGTCAAGGGACTTGCCCAGGGTCACCCAGCTAGTAACTGTCAAGTGTCTGAGTTTGGTTTGAACTCTAGTCCTCCTGACTCCAAGGCCGGAGCTCTATCCACTGCACCACCTGGCTGCCCCAGGGATGATTTTTAAAAGCTGGGCACACCTTTCCTCCTTCCCCTGAGCAGCTCGGTGTAATTCTTTCATTAAAGACAGCCCTCTCCAGGCATTCTCAGCTTCTCCCCCAGCCCTCAGGAGCTCCGTGGGAGGTCACTTTACTTTCCCCTCGCCTAAGCCTGAGTTAACCCTGAGGTTGCCATGTAGTCAGGAAGCTCTCCCTGTCAGGGCAGTCCCATTCCTGGAGCTGAAGCCTGACGTTCCCAGCTTGGGCTTGTTTCTGGCTGGCTCTCTGCCTTCCCCACCTCCACCTGTTTTCATTGCTCCGTATTTTGGTTTCCTCTCCATGGTGGGATCCAGTGAAAGCTGACTTCCGCCATCTTGGTCCACTGGCAGGTTCGGTTGATGCAGGAATCCGTACGAAGAATAATCGAGGCAGAAGAGTCCAGAATGGGTAAAAGCACTGTCAGCTTCCTTGGGTCGGGGGGCTCTGGGTGCTGGAGGGGAGCAAAGCAGGCGGCACGGGCACCTTCTCTGGGCTACAACTCGGTGTGCTCCTCAGGACTGATCATCCTGAACGCCTGGTATGGCAAGTTCGTCAATGACAAGAGCAGGAAGAACGAGAAGGTGAAGGTGATTGATGTGACCGTCCCCCTGCAGTGCTTGGTAAAGGACTCCAAGCTCATCCTCACCGAAGCCTCCAAGGTACTGGCGCCGCCGTGCCCACAGAGTGGGGGAGGCAAGCCTGACTGATTGGACGTGGTTAAATTCCCTCCCAGAGCCCAAGCCAGGATTCCTCCGTGCCCTTTGGTCACAGAATCTACACAGGGCTGAGCATACAGTAAACAAATACATAAATAGGTTGATACCAACCTCCCAGAACTCAGAGCTTCCTTAAGGAAGGGCTGGAGTCTCTGGTTTTTTGTTTCATTTTTCCACTTGGCAGAGATGCTGCTGTGAAGACGCAGGCTTGTAGGATGAGAAGGGGAGGACCTGTGTTGGGACTAGAAGCCTGGGACTGAAGAGGGAACTTTCAGACCCAGCGGTTGTGTTTTCCGGAGGCCTTCTAGGCACAGATTTTGATGTCGATGCTGCGTCCTGTTATGGCTACCCTGGTCAGCTTGCAGGCCGAACCTTAGGGGGATTTGCGGGGCTGACTCATGGTATCTCTGTGTCTCTCATCACAGGCCGGGCTTCCTGGGTTTTATGACCCATGTGTGGGAGAAGAGAAGAGCCTAAAGGTGCTTTACCAGTTTCGAGGCGTGCTGCACCAAGTGATGGCATCGGACAAAGAAGCCCTTCGGATACCAAAGCAGTGTAAGTCATCCTGCCCTGTCCTGCCCACCCGTCCTCCGGGGTGCCTGCTGTGGGACACAGTCTGTCCTCGAGGAACCCACACATAAGAGTTAGCAAACCGTGTTCTTGCCTTCGGATGACAGCTGGGCTGAACCCATCATCTGGCAGCAAGAGGCTGAGAATCCCCCCTCGTACTGGCCCCGTGGGCTCCAGACAGGCCCTCCCTGTTATGCCACTGCTCTGCGTGTAACAGGAATACAATCACTTGCCCCCCAGCCCTGAGCCTGTCTTTCCTCCCGCAGCTCACAGGATCGATACTGATGGATAAACCTCGTGGGAAAACAAGGGGTCAGGACCTGCGTCAAGAAGATGCTGCAAAACCGCTTTTCCTGGGAGTCTGAAAGTTTGGAAGCACATGAAACAGAAACCTACAGATGTTTTTATTTTGTATCATTCCTGTAGAAGGTCATTTACCAATTATGTGAAGGGACACATGACCACCCCAGCATTCATGGGTACTGTAGTACTAAGGCAATCCTGCCCTTGGCTAGAGCCACAAAGCTGACAGATGCCCGTTTCCTAGAGGAACCTGTGGGCACAGAACCGTGGGTCAAGTCCTCGGGCATCTAAATGACAGTGGCCCTTCAACCCCAAGTTTCAGGGCTCTTTCATGAGGTGTCTACGCAAACCGAAAGGAAAACACAGGCCACGGTGTGGTCCCGATGATGAAGTGAGCGAGCGTCCATACAAGCTTCCTCCCGACAATCTCCACGCCTTGTTGTGATTACCAAAAAGGGGATTTGGAGACAGTTCTGAATTTACTGAATGCTTGTTACCTGAGAACACCCAACGTGTCCGGAAGACATCTTTGCCTTTCCCACTGCATTTGTCTTTATAATTACCACTAAAGCTGTGATCCCTAGGCCCAGGACTCAGCTTTCTCCCAGTGTAACTGGGATTACCTGTCTCTCCTACACATTGCATGGAAAACCATGGATCCTTCCCATGTTTTCAGCCAATCTGGCTGAGAACTGGGACCACTGCCCACTTACTGGATGAGGAGAAGGCCATGGGGAGACAAGGAAGAAATATTAACCTGATTGGGACGAAACTGGCCAATGTTGTAGAGAGGTGCCAATTGGAGTGAGCTGGTAAAAGCACTCCAAGGCTTCCTGGAGGACTGGGCAGGCAGGGCTCCCTCCCTCTAGCAGGTGGCCCTGGGGATAGCCAGCGGGCACATCCTCCCCACTTAAGGGACAAGTGGGGTGGTTCCCTCTAGAAGGTCCTCTTTCTTGACCTGCCTGTTGTGTGGAGACAAGAGATGTTAGGAACCCAGGATACACTTGAATAGTCTTCCAGGTTACCTGTAGTAATCAGTCCAGTGAGCAAACAGGCCTGTGGTCTTGGTTGTGGAATGGCCTTGTTCCTGTGCACCTCCCAGCGTTGTGTGGCTCTGTTCTAAGTGTAGTCACGTGAGCAGGAGTTGGATTTGCAGGGGCCCAGCCTTCTGTCCCCCCACAGCTACTAGAATCAAGCTCTCCATGCCTGGGCTTTGGTATCAGGGTGATCAGTCATGATCCTTCCCCCAAATTTTTAAAAAACAAACAGTTCAGGTTGTCTAATTCTGTGACATTCATGCCCATTTTTACAATGTTTCCTAGACCTGAAGCTAATACAAATTGTGCAATAAACTTTGCCGAATGACTCTGACTTAACGCGGCCCGTTGTCCCCTTTGCTGCGACGATTCTCGCGGGTACCAATTTTCTTCATTTTGTTTGAAGCTGGTTGTACAGAAGGCACTGTATTGTCAATAATAAACCCTTTCTGAAAGCTGGAGCTAGGACTCGTTTTTCAAAATCACGACCATGGAAGGAGGCAGTGGTTTCATTGAAGGCTCCTTCCAGATTTATTTCACCCCTTCTCTAACTGAACCACGGTGTCTCACACATGCTTTGTAAGCACAAATCTCTGCCTCCTCCAGCCTCCCACAAGGCCATATTGCACATAGGGCACTAATGTTTACACAAAGCACAGCATGCACGGACAGAAGGAAGAGGCTGTCACGGTGCCGTACGTCACACTGGTCCGAGGAACTTGAAGTCCCGGGGTGGGGGTGGGGGGCAATCAACTGTGCTGGGGGGGTTTTGATAAGCAAAATGTTTTTGTCAAAGGTATGTGCCCTGTCCCCTGCTTTACAAGGTCTAAAGTGAAACCGTTTCTGAGACTTTTTCCATGTCCACAGTAGCCTGGATGGAGCAAGGAGGGAAACTCAAAACTACCGATTCCTATTTAGCAAAGGATGGAAACCTGCAAAGTCCTCGTGGAAGGCACAGGCACACCTCCCGGACTAGGAATACGAGTGCAGTCTACACCACTTTACAGTGGGATACCGGCAAACCCCACGCCAGGCGGAGCTCTGCGTGCCTGCTTGGGCGGGAGTGACTCCACAGAGGACGAGACTCATGCACTGCCTCAGAAAATCCTTTTCTCCAGATCTTTCCATTCTTTCCAAAAGAAACCTGCCTGGTTCTCTCTCCCACCCTCACGTCTAGCTCATCCCCTTGACTTAAAGCATCCTTCTTGCAGCCTAGGTCACACTGGTAGCTCCTTCTACGTTCATCAGTCTCATGTTGAAAATGCAGTGGTAGCAAGAAAACAAACGCTGGAATGGAATCATACTCAGATATGTTTGAGGCTCTTCCCCTTTCTGACCCAACATGGCAGGGAGCGAGTTTTTTTCCCTCCGCTTACTTTACTGACACTCCTTTCCTCTGCCACACCACGGGTGCTAGTCTTTCCAAAGTGCCAGCAGCAGTGGGGCCGAGCCGCTGCTGCTGCCACGGAGCAGGGCCCTGGAAGAGGCAACGGGCCACCGTCCATCTTCCCAAAGAGGGAGCTCCGCCGGCTCAGGCTACCGGACGTTGCTCGTCCCTCTGCAGGGCTTTCTTTCTCCTCTTCTCCTCCTGGAGAGCCTGAAGGCGGCTGGACATCCTTCTCATGGCCACCCTCTGCATCTTTAGTCTCCTGCGGAGCCGTTCGTTTTCCTTCAGTGTGAGCACGAGTTTTCTTTTTAAAGCATCTAAGTCCAGGAGGGCATAGCTGTGATCTGATGCCGGGAGGGGAAGTGAACCTCTCTGCCCTGGGGGACTGGTGGGCAGGAGGCGGGACGAGACTTCCTCTGTCTTGTAAGACGAGACCTAGGAGCAAAGGCAGACGAAGGAGGAGGTATAAAGGGGGAATTCCCATCCCTGCTTCCCTGGCACAAATCTGCCCTTTTCTTGGTTTTAGGGAGTGGGTGTTGCTTGTGGGATCCCCTGGCAGGTGTTTGGCATCCTCACAAACTCAGCTGAGAGTGCCTAGAAATTAACTGCATCTGCTATTTATGCTGAAAATAATAAACATAGTATAGTCATGGGTAAACCCATTCAAATCTTGGCTCTCCCAGAGAGGGCATTTTGGGGAGACGTGCGCGCTGTTCTTTCTGGCTTCTATGTTGGTAAGAAACATTTCTTTCACGACATTTTAAAAATATAGAGAATAAACAGCTAAGTATTTCCTTTCGGTTTTCAACCAGAGGACCCACAACCTAACACCCTACCTCTTTTTCAGAAGCCTCAGCATCTGGGGATAACTGGTGCTTGTCAAGTGGAATTTCCATCTTTCTTCCTGGGGTATATTCCCCAGCCCCTGCATCTGAGAAGTCCTAAAAAGCAGCAATGGAGAATTAGCATTGAGGCCCTTCTGGGTCCCCCGTTAGGTGGCACCTTACAGCCCATACACCTTTGTACCATCCCCAAAGTAACCCTTTCATACTGGTCTTTTGCGGGGGGGGGGGGTATGAAAATCAATTGGGTAGCCCACCACATTTTTATACCATGGCTTGAACAACCAACACTTTCCACACAAAATAGAAATACACATGTTAGAAGCAAATAAAACTTGTAACCAGTTAAGAATGTCGGACAAGAAGTGAAAAGATGGGACCGTGACTTCAGAGGGCTTGTGGTAAAGCAAACCACCCCATCCTGGCAGAGGGGTGGCAGGACCACAGGTACAGAATGGGGAATCCACCTGTTAAAGGGGCCAATTGTTGGCTGGTTTTGCTTTCCTTTTGTTGCAAGGGACAGATCTCTCATTGTGAGGGAGAAGGACATATCAGTGGAAAGTGATAATTGTAAAAAAAAAATGGCATCAATGAAATATTTTTTTAAAAGAAAAAGGTATGAAAAACCTATGTCTTCTGCTCTCCTTTATGATTTCTTTAAATTAGTCATTTGAAAGTTGTTACTTCATCAAAGTAGCCCTTTCCTTAAGGAGATTTTCAGGGCTACAGACAGGCTGCCCGGCCCACCCTCCTACCACCTCAGGAGCCAGCGAGCATTCATTACCCAGTGCCAGGCAGGGGGGTACAAAGAAGGAGAAAATGAATCACTACCCTCAAAGAGAATATGCTACCTTCACAATGCAACAAGCAAATAAGTAAGCATACACGAGATATATGCAGAGGAGGCAGAAGGTCACCACAGAGGGAAGAGTCTCCTTCACAAGGTGAGATTTGATCTAAGTCTTGCAGGAGGCCAGGAAATCTAAGAGGTGGGAGGCGGAGGAGGGAAGGGCATTCTGGCATGGGGGACAGCCAAGTGCAGAAGCAGCGGGTTGGGAGATGGAGACTCTTGGAGAAACAGCCAGGTGGTCAGTATTGGTGATTAGGTCTGCTCAGACATCACATAACAAACCACACTCTGCACAGCTTTGAGATTTACCTTCCCCGGCTGTGCCTGTACATCGCTTCTCTGGCCAGCAGGGTCTGTGTTCTTCCTAACCAGCTGCAGGGAGACAAAAACACAAGACAGCGGTTTTAACAGGACATGCTTTTCACTCTGGGCACAGTGCGCCTCGAAAAATCCAAGGAGGGAAAGACTTGGCCTCTCCCCTGGTCCCAGAGGGAGCTTCCCTATCCAGTGAGATGTTCCTAAACTAACCCACCAGTGACCGGTGGTTGTCCTCAAACGGTATGCACACCGAGTTTGGTGGAAGAGATGGCGGCAGCTACGTTACATGACACCATCTTCAAAAATAGAAGGGTATTCAGACACAACATCCATGTCCCTCCCACAGCACAGCAGCTAAAATTTACTTGGTTTGTATTAATAATTTTATCCGCCAAAGATGAAGCAACGAGAGGAAATAATATTTTGGATCCGAGCATCACCAACACAGGGAACCTGTTACTAACATAGAAATGACGGGAGCCGTGATGGGCTTGCAGAGGATTGGTGGGGAGGGGAGGTAAATGACCACTCCAGCATTTGAATTTGTGACAAAGAAGAGGAAATGCAAGGGGGGCGTGCACAGTGTCGAACTGAGAATCCAAGCACCTATATTCTAACCTTTGCTCCACTGCTCACTATCTATGTCACTGGGAAAGTCACCTCCATGGGCCTCGGTCTCCTCATCTGTAAAATGAGAGGGTTGAACTGTTCTCTGAGGTTCCTTTCATATATCTATGATATAATCTGACAGATTAGATTTGGGGAGAGCAGATTTCAACAAAAGTAGAGATAAAACCCAGTAGGCTCCAATGTGATGGGATAAGTCAAGTCAAAAAGAGATGGGAAATGCTTAGAAATGAAATTCTAGAAACAAAGAAATACAATTCCAATGATCCATCTGTGAATTTATGGGAAAACTTCTTGAGGCAGTTAGTGTTTTTGGAACGGAAAGCTACTGGGGTAACAAATTCTACATGTCTAATACGTACGTGGTGTGCTGGAAAATACAATAAAAATCTTAGCAATCTGAACTCCACTCATTTGAAACTGACAAAGATTTGGAGATGCTGGGCTGGAGTGTGCCTTTACATCACCCGTAGAAAACGGGTGTCTTTGGTGTGAAGTGAATTATTTAGCCTACTTGCGATAGAAGCTCACATTTAATAACATCAGCTCATGTCTGCAGACAATTTTAAAGTTCATAATGGTTAAGGAACAGTTCAAGTGGGGTCCAATTGCAAATAATTCTAATATCCTTGTTTAGAAAAGACTTTAAAATCCGACTTACAACCTGGTGCCGTATTTCCCATCAGCAGTGTTACTGTATACACCAGCAGGCGATAAAACTGCCTTTCTCTAAAAAATACTTCACAGCCTTTTTTCCCCTGTGATCTTGCCCTTTCCACCGCCATCTCTCCACACAAACACCCCCACCCCAACTGCTCTATGAAGGTATATTAATGAAGTTTTATCATGTTCTCTTGATTAATAATAGATAGCATTTGCATAGCACTTTAAGATTAGCAAAGCGCTTTATGAATATGATCTCATTTGAGCCTCACAACAACTCCTGGGAGGTAGGTGCTATTATTGTGCCCACTCTACAGATGAAGAAATTGAGGCAGAGAAAGGGGAGGTGACCTGCCCAGGGTGTCTGAGGCCAGATTTGAACCGAGGTTTTCCTGACTCCAGGCCCAGTGCTCTGCCCACTGCACCACCTGGCTAGCCGCCTCTAAGTTCATTACAACTCTCTCTTTCAACCTTCAGGGAGCTAGTAATATTCTGGGATTCCACGATCAAGGCTGCACCCACCCTATCTCTTCTCTTTCATTCAGTGATGGGTCTCAATAATTCCCCTTCAAAGCCTTCCTGTCTTTAGGCGGACAACTCCTCCTTGGTCATTTGGGTGGCTTTTCCCTGGGCGAGGGGGCCACAGCCACAGCAGGGGGGAGTAGCCAGGGGCTGGCCTTGGGGTCAGGAAGCCTTGGAATCCAGTACCACCTCTCACACTCTCTGTGTGGCCCTGCACACATGCCCTCATCACCAGGCACCTTCATGGGACTCCTCGGTCTTTCTGAGACCGGAGTGGGCACAGTCGGTCCCAGTCGTCCGTCCCTCTCAGTAAAGAAGGCCCGAGGCCAGACTCTGCAGAGTGTGGTGCTTGTCCCGCAGGTCAGAGGGCAAGGCCCAGAGACCAGGGAGAAGATGGGCCTCCTAGTCATTCCCTGCAGAGTCTCTCTGATAACATCTTATTGCAAAGTATCCATTTCTTCTGAAGTGACCCCTAAGTCTAGGTTCTTATCAAGCAAAGGTCCTTCATTCACTCCATGGCCGAGCTGCATCTGGCCCTGCATCGGGGCTGCAAGGCATGGCCCCTACCTGTGCCGTCTCCCGGAAAGCAAACACCGTGGGCACCGCGTTCTGCTTCAGGTTCTTGCGGTTGCCAAAGGCGCTGAAGCAGTCCGGCTGGAAGTGCTCCGAGCAGATGACCGTGTGCTGCTTGGGCTTGAAGTTGCCTCGGCCAATGTTCAGCACCCATTCCTTCAGCAGCTCGGGGCGGCTGAAAGGGAACCTAAGCAAGGCAAGAAAATCCTGGCCTGAGAAAAGGGAGATGCAGCATCCTCTGTTTACTTGAGAGGTTTGAAAGCCTAAGCCACATCCAATTTTTTCAAGCCAACATTCTCATAAATAATGAACCCAAAACACCAGGAGCAGCCTAAGAACCCCGGCGAACAGGGTTTCTGAATCTGTGTTGTAAAAGTCTCCAAGAAAGCCTGGAAGACACATTCCCCAAATCTCCAACCGTCCATTGCACTTCTCAAACTAATTTTGCCATCAATACTTGACATATACTGAGAGAATCTCTGAACCCAGGGGAGGACCAGGGAGGCCTGAGGGCATCCTTGGACCACAGGATCACAGATATATAGCTGGAAGGGCCCCTGGACATTATCTAACCCAACCCCCTCATCTTACAGATGACAATAATTCAGAGCAAAACAGATGCACGGCAGTTTTTTCACAAGTAACAAATTCAATTCATCAACAAACATATTAAGAGTCTGTTATAAGGGGATGCCCATCAATTGGGGAATGGCTGAACAAGTTGTGGTAAATGATTGTAATGGAATACTATTGTGCTATAAGAAATGATGAGCAAGCGGACTTCAGAAAAACCTGGAAAGACTTGTATGGACTGATGCAGAACCAGGTGAATGTTGTACACAGTAACAGCCACATTGTGCGATGACTAACTTTCATAGACTTGGCTCTTCTCAGCAATGCAAGGATATAGGACAACTCCAAAAGACTCATGATGGAAAATGCTATCTACATCTAGAGAAAGAACTATGGGGGCAGCTAGGTGGAGCAGTGGATAGAGCACCAGCCCTGGAGTCAGGAGGACCTGAGTTCAAATCCAGCCTCAGACACCTAACACTTACTGTGTGACTTTGGGCAAGTCACTTAACCCCAAATGCCTCAAAAAGGAAAAAAAAAAAAAAGAACGAACTATGTAGTCTCAATGCAGATTGAAGCATACTATCTGCTCTTTTATTTTCTTCTGTTTTGTTTTCTCTTTCTTGTGGTTCCTTCTACTGGTTCTAATTCTTCCTTACAACATGACTAGTGTGGGGAAAAAAAAAAAGCCTATTATGAATAAGAAACACATGGCTTGATGCCAGACATTCAGAGACAAAAATTGAACAGCCCCTCCCTGCCCTCAAGAGTTTACAATCTACTCAAAGGATGCAACTTGTACATAAGAAAGTAAATACAAAGTCTACAGAATCATTTCAGGAGAGGGCTGAGAGAGGTTGGGAAGGGTCTCAGGTAGGTAGAGGCACCTGAGCTGCTGGGAGGCAGAGGAGAGATGGGAGGGCCTTCTAGACCACCTGTGAATTTGGGTGGAGGCCAGAGATGGAACAACAGACTCAGAGAACACAGGCAGTCCAGTCTGACTGTAACGAATCCTGCATCAAAGGGAGTAACAGGAAATAAACCCGGAAAAGTAAGACAGAGTCAGATTTTGGGGAGCCTTAGATAGATACCAGGTTGAGGACTCTTTATGTTCTGCTAGAAGGCACAGAAAGCCACCAAGATTTTCTTTTTTTAGCGGGGAAAGTGACATGGTCAAATCTGTTTGGGGAATGTTAATTTAGATGGAGGATGGATCAGAGAGAGGAGAAACTGTACGCAGAGACAAGAAATAACAATTTAACAACAATTAATAACAATTTAATAACAATTTAATAACAAGGGCCTGATGTATGGCAGAGGCTGCGTGAGTGGGAAAACGGGGAGATATAAGAAATGTTGGCAATTGGATGTGGGGCATGGCTGAGGATGACTTTAAGGTCTGAGTGTGTTGGAAGGAAGGTGCTTCTGGCAAACAGAAACAGAGAAGTCTAGAGGAGGGATGGTTTGGGGGACAAATAAAATGTTTTCCAATTTGGACACACCGAGTTTGAGATACCCACAGGTCATCCAGATGGAAATGCCCAGTAAGCTGGTGTTAATGATAGACTAGAGCTCAAGAGAGGACTGGATAGATCATTCAGGGAATCCCTGCATAGAGATGATCCTTCAACTTATAGAACTGTGGCTATTGTGAAGGAAGAGAATACAGAGAATGAATGAGAAAAGGGCCCTGGCCAGAGCCTGGAACCATACCCCTACAGTGGGAGGGAGGAGTATAATGATCCAGGCCAGAGAATGGACACCCACCAGTAGAAGAACTCAGAGGAAGCGATCACAGAAGCCAAGAAAGGAGAGTCTTCAAGAGGATGGTCAGTGGGGTCAAAAGTTACAGAGAGGTCAAGAAGAATGAAGACTGAGGAAGGGTCATTGGCTTTAGCAGTCAAGACATCATCTATCCCCCTACTCCTTTGCAGAAGTAGGAGGTGGACAAGAAGGGCACATTGCATATATTACGAGGCATTTTCATCATACTGATCAGTTTTATTATTTTTTTTCCTCTTCCTTTTTTTCTTTTAAAAAATATACTTTCTGATAAAGGATAGCTCTTGGGCAGCAGAAAGGGCAACGACACAGGGGGCAATTTATTAAATATAAAAACAAAAGATATCAACAAAAATTTATCTTAAAAACTGATCATTGGTAACCTGAGAGTTGTTTCAGTCAAGTGATGGGGTTGGGAGCCAGGATACAAGGGGCTAAGAAACGAGAAGTCAGGAAGTGAAGGGAGTGACAGCGGATGGCTTTTTCCAGGATTTCTGCTGTGAAAGGGGCGGGGGGAGTAGATGATTGCTTAAGAGGTTGGCAGGGTCAAGTGAAGGTTTTTTAAGGATGAGAGAGATCTGGGTATATTTGTAAGCAGCAGCAAAGAAGACAGTGGATAAGGAGAGAGGGAAGGTGAGAGAAAAGGCAGAGATAGGGGAGGCAAGCCCCTGGAGGGGCCCAGGATGGGACCAAAGAGAATAAATGGCGGAATTAGCTTTGGCAAGAAGGCCCATCTTTTCATCAGAGAATGGAACAAAAAAAAAAGAGAAAATGAGGAATAATGAATGGGAGTTTTGAAGCGGGGAGTAAGGGAGAAGAAAGAGTCAGCTCACAAGGGAAGCCTTCTGTTTTCTTAGTAAAGTCTGCTGAGAGCCAAGAGGAGGAGGTGGTATAGCAGGTCTGAGAAGAGAGGTCTGGAATAATCACTGTGGATTGGGATAGAGTCAACCAGGAACAAATAAAAAGATTGCTACACACTTTAGCATGCCCAGCTGACGCAGCAGATAAGAGTTGGGCCTGCAGTCAGGAAGACCTGAGTTGAAATCCAACCTCACACACTTACCAGCTGTGTGACTCTGGGCAAGTCACTTCACCCGGTTTGCCCCCCCCCCCCCCAAAAAAAAGTAGAATAGACTGTGAAAGGAATGGGAATGAAAAGGGATGACAGTACAGGAAGAGTTAAGAGAGGAGTTTTGCCTCAGAAGTGTTTTTTATATACATATAATTTCAAGTTTAATATTTTCAAGAGGAAACTATGTTCTCAGAAAACCTATCATTCACATGGCATGGCATATGGAAAGAAATCTGGGAAATGCTTCATTATGCTGCTCTCTCACCATCCCCCATCCAATCCTGGCCAACTGGACTCCCTGGGCACTCCAGGCTTTTCTCATATTAACAACAGCACCCGGAATGCCCACCAACAAAAACTTGACTCCATCCTCCATGTTCCTAAGTGACCGCTTCTCCCATGAAGTCGAGAGATTTCATGATTTTCAGGATCTCCCTGATTTTCAGGATCTAGCCACACAAGCCATTCTGGGCATCTCTAAGCTGAAATATACTATTTGCAAACACAGAAAAACAAAAATGGAGGTATAGACTCTGACAGAGCACACATTTTTCCAAGAGGCAACAAAGTCTAGTGGAAAGAACATGGGGCTTGCAATAAGAAGCCAAAGGGTTCCTAGTGTTGGGCCCAAGCAGCTGGACTAGATAAGTTCCAAGATTCTCTCCAGACCCAAAGTCTACGAGCCAAGGAGTCTTAACCCTTTTTTGGATCGCTGACCCCTCTGACAGTCTGGTGAAACCAAAATAATGTTTTCTCAGAATATTTTGATTCTCCTTTAAATGCACAGTTAAAGAAAACGCTAAATTTCAGTTGGAGGTTAGTAAAAATAAGGGTGCATTTTTTTTCTCCTTCCTCCAAGTTCTCAGATTCTCTGTCCTCTAAGTTAAGAACTCCTGGTCTAACCATAATTCTGGAGGACTCATGACAAAACATGCTATCCACCTCCACATTGACAGTTGATGGCTCAAAGGGCAGACTGAGGCAATTTTATATATGTGTGTGTGTACATATATGTGTATATACATGTGTGTATATGTTGCATGTATACATACATACACACATATATGTGTGTACTTTTTTAAAGATAATTTTTGACAGGGCCTATATGGGAATTTGTTCTGCTTGACTATACAAGTTTGTAACAGGTTTTATTTTTCTTGCTTTCTCAATAGGGTTCTGGCATGCTAGGTAGGAGGAAGAGAATGTGGAGTTGAATATTAAAAAAATAAACTGAATTTTTAAAAAAGATCTAGTCTAATCTCTCTGTGTAGGAATAGAATTTACAGAGCCTGAAACCACATGACCTGGCACTTAATTATATTCCTGTGGTGTTATTATTCTCTAATTATTTTAATACATACTATGTGTGATGCCCCTCTTATCTCCTCAGCCAGCCTGTAAACCCCTAGAAGGCACCAGCCAACTTCTTTCACAGCCCTAATAAGACTTAGCTGGGCACACTGCCCAAACTGGCTCCAAATAAATAATTATGGGATTTAGGGCTGGGTCATCATCTGGTCCAATCCCCTCATTTTACAAGTGAGGAAAATGCATCTCAGAGAAATGAAGGGCTTTATCCAAGTGGACAGAGACAGTAAGTGGCAAGAATTCAAACCTGGGTCTTCCAAAGCACCCCAGCTCTGTACCCTTGTTGGCTGACTGAAGACAATCAATCTTCTCCATTTTGTGCGCGTATGATTTCATGTGGGCTAATTAGCACTGTCCGGGACAGAGATCTCCGTTGTAGGCCAATGGACAGTGTGTCTGTACAGACATACCAGCCCGGGCCAGGTGTGGCACATTAAGAGACCTTGCTATGTCATACAGATGGCATGTGCGCAAACACAGACAGAGAACCAAAAACAGAAAAATACAGAGGAAAAGACACTCAGGTATAACTAGAGACCCAGGCAAAGAGCGAAAGACGGACGGAAAGCAAGAGAGAGAGGCAGACAGAGAAGAGACAGATGCCAAGGCAGAGACATAGAAAACGACAGACACATGGAGGGATGGGTAGACTTACATACATACCCAGAGAGACAGGGACGCTTCTACACGGCCAGGGGAGGGGAGAAGCAAGTCTACAGTTACAAGGAGGTAAGAAATCATTCTTAAGCTTCTACTATGTGCCAGGCAATCAGACAGTCCTTGCCCTCAGGAAGGTTACAATCTGGTGGGGGAAACAACCTGGACACGTATAAGTAGATACACAGTAAATACACAATGTAGTATCTACAAAAGCTAACAGGGATTTGGGGGCATGAAAAGAAACAGCAGGAGCAGCTAGGTAGCAAAGTGGATACAGAACCAGCCCTGGAGGCAGGAAGACCTGAGTTCAAAAGTGGCCTCAGACACTTGACACTTACTAGCTGTGTGACCCTGGGCAAGTCACTGGAACCTAAATGCCTCAAAAAAAAAGAAAAAAAAGAAAACAAAAAATAGCAACTGAGGTCTCCTATTCTGGGGACAGTGGTTGAGCTAAAGAGGATTAGGGATTCTAAAGGGAAGGGGGACATCCTATGAAAAGACATAAAGACATGAGATGTAATATCCTGTGTGAAGGAAGGCAAGAAAGGCAGTTTGGTCAGATTATAAAGGGCATAAATGAGAGTAATCCAAAATAAGTCTCAAAAGGTAGGCTGCAGCTATATTATAAATGAACATGCCCACCTTAATGTATCTGCTTCCCAAATATGTTAGGATCTGTGTTTGATTCTAAGAGGAATGGGGAGCCACTGGAAAAACATGGTCAAACCTATGCTTTAGAAATATCACTTTAGGGGCAGCTAGGTGGTGCAGTGGATAGAGCACCTGCCCTGGAGTCAGGAGGGCTTGAGTTCAAATCCAGCCTTAGACACATAACACTTACTAGCTGTGTGTGATTTTGGGCAAGTCACTTCACCCTAATTGCCTTGCCATTAAAAAAAAAAAAAAGGAATATCACTTTGACAGCTGGGTAAATTAATGAATTAAAGAGGGAAGAGACTAGAATCAGAAGGCCCATTTGGGAGACTCCTGAAACAGCACCAGCAAGAGGTGAAGAGGGACTGAACAAAGATGGTGGCCCTGTGAGTAGAAATAAGGGGATGGATGCAAACCCCAAATTCTTGGTTGAGTTGGGGGCTGGTACAACCAATTAGTAGAAAGTAATTTGGAATTACAATGTCCATACCCTTTAACCCAGAGATTCAATCCACACACACCAAAATATTTATAGCGGCCCTTTTAGTGGTAGCAAAGAATTGGAAATAAGGTAGATGCCCAACAACTAGGAAATAGCTAAATACACTGAGGCATATGGATGTAATGGAATATAACTGTGCTGTAAGAAGTGATGAATGTCTGGAACATAGAGAAGCACCCAAAGACTTATGGGTACATAAGCACAGGCAAGAAAACAGTATACACAAAGACTAGGCCATTGATAAATGTCCAGAACCACCACCAGGAAACAATCAAAAGTGAATATTATGAAATTACAAAGAATTCTCCCTCCTTTGCAGAGGTCAGGTCTACAGGTCTGGAACACTGGTATAATAGCAGAATTTTTTTTTTTTTATCAATCAATTTTGCTGAATTTTTTCCTCTTCCTTTTAAAAACAAATTCTCGGTTACAGTGGTTTTCTAGGAGAAGGAAAAGATACAGAGGGAAAAGCTGGTTTCGTAAAAAAAGATTAAAAATTATTTTAAAAAAAGATGTTATGGAGGTAAAATCCACAAGATTTGGCAGCTGAGTGAATATGAGGGGAGGGAGAAAAAAGACTTTGAGAATATCTGCGGGGTCGTGAGCCTGGATGACTGCAAGGAACAGAAGCGGGGCAACTGACGGACAGACCCAGAGAGACAGAGACAAAGAGACAGCGCAGAGAGACAGACCAGACACAGCCAGCCCGCCCCGGCCCCGCCCCCGGCCCCGCTTGGTGGGCGGGGCCTCAGGCCAGGGAGGAGCCGCCCGGGCACGCGCCCCCGGGAGGCAGCAAGTTCAAACACGCGCATGCGTGTATGTGGCCGGATGCCTCCGTGTATGTGTGCTGCTCTGGGTGTATGTGTGTGTGTATCTGTGTGTGCGCGTGCGTCTGCCAGGTCGGCCCGGCCCGGCTCTCGAAAAGGGTCTGTCTGGGGGCTGTCCAAGGCCCCCACCCCCTCCCCCGCAGCCCGCCCCTCCCCCACCTCACCGGTGGAAGGTGAGCTGCTTCCTGCGGCTGCTGTAGCGGTTGCAGCACTGCCGGGCCGCGCACGACTTGGGCATCTCCTGCCGCCGCAGCCTCTTTCCTCCCGCGGCTGCCGGCTGCCCTCAACAAAGATGGCGACGGCGGGGACGGTGGGGGGCGGGGAGCGCGCGACCTTAGTGGGGGAGGGGGAAGGAGCGGAGAGCGTGCAGCCTCTGGGGGAGGGGGAGCCCTGGGGCGATCGCAGCCGGCGCTCTAGCTGGGGGCGGGGCGGCGGCGGACCCTGCCCTGGCCGGGCTGCCTTCCTGGGCATGCGCTGCCCTCCTCGGCCTCCCTGCACTGACCCAGAGCACCGCACCTGAGGGGAGTGCCCCGAGTTCGGGAAAGGTCTGGGCCACGGTCCCCCTTTGCTTGGCCTTCAGTGTCCCTCCTTTCCTGTTCCTAGTCACTTTTTGTGGGGAAATCAGCCTCCCCCTCCTCATTTTCCTCCTCTCCTCCTTCACTTCCTCCTCCTCTCATTCCTCTCCCCTCGTCCTTCCTCTCCTTCCCTCTCTTCCTCCTCCTGCTTCCCCCACTTTCCTCATCCTTCTCTCCCTTCTCCCTCCTTTTCTTACTCTTCCTCCCCCTCTCTTCTCACCTACCCCTTCTCCGGATCTGTTTAAGCAAATGCTAATTACCGCCCTCAGACCTACCTGAATGCAAACTCTCCTGTTTGCAAGCACCTAATGCTTTTTTAGTATTTGCAAACCAATAGCACTTGCATCCAGTAACGTTGTCATTGTGGTTCCCTAGAAGGAACCCTGGATTCGAGTCTGAAGTCCTGAGTTCAAGCCCCATCTCAGCAGCTTATGACCTGGGAGATGCTTTGAGCAAGGGGTTTCTCTCTGGGCCCAGGTTTCCTCCGCCTGTAAATGAGAAAATTGGGTTCTGGGGTCTCCAAGGCCCCTTCCAGCTCTGAATCTGTGACCCTAGGAGTTCGACTCCACAAGCTTTCACAATAAGCAGCTGTCATGAAAGGTGGTAGGATGTGCTTAGAGCTGCGTAAAAGTAGTAAAGGCTAGGGGATAGAGGCAGAAGAGATGGAGAGGAGCTGGGGTAGCAGCGAAGGCTGAAAAAGGAGAAATGGGGACTAGACTACTTAGCCTTGAACAGAGGAAGAGGAGTCAGACTCAGGACCTGCCTGGCCTTTTCTTTTCAGCAGTAAGATGCATTGGAAATAGTGACCAAATCCAGTGACCTTCTGTCCTCATTCTGCTTGAACTCCTTGCAGCCTTTAGCATTCTCCTTGATACTTAACTCTCTTCTCTCCAGGTTTGCAGGACATCCTTCTCTCCTCTATCTGCCTGCTCCTTCTCTGTCTCTTTTGGTGTGCCCCATCTCCAGATCATGTCCTCTAAGGCCCACAGGGCTCTGTCCTGGGCCCTCTTTTCTTCTCCCTCTATACTTCTTCACTTGGTGATCTCATCAGCTCCAGTGAATTTAATTACCATCTCCATGTGGATGATTCTCAGCTCTACCTTTCCTATCCCAGTCTTTCTGCTGGCCTCCAATCTTGCATCTCCAATCCAGGCATCTTGAACTGGATGTCCAGTGGACGTCTTAAATTCATAGCCTCCAAAGCAGAACTCATTAGCTTTCCTCCTCAACCCTCCCTACTCCTCCTCACTTCTCTGTTCCTGAAGAGGGCATCGCATCTTCCCAGTCCCTCAGGCTCCCAACCTGAGAGTCAGCATGGATTCCTCACTATCTCTCGCCCCCCAACATCTCCCCTCACTTTCACCTTTGCTGCATCCTTCTCTCCTGACGCCTCCACTATCCTGGTACGGACCCTGGTCACCTCACATCTGTATTATTGCAATCGCTGCAGCTGGTGGTTTTCCTGCCTCAAGTCTCATGAGGCCACTAAAATGTGGATCCCAACCGTGTCATTCCCCTACTCAACTCTAATGGCTCCCTATCACCTCCAGGAGCAAAAAGAAAATGCTCTTTTTGGCATTCAAAGCCATTCATAACCCGTCCTACTTTTCCAGCCTTCTTACACCTTACCCCCCACAAGAGGTATTCTTTGATCCAGTGACGCTGGCCCCCTGGCAGTTCCACAGACAAAACACTCCATCTCTTGACTGCAGGCATTTTCTCCAGCTGTCCCCAACTCCTGGAATCCTCACCCTCCTCATCTCGACTATTGGCTTCCCAGACTTCCTTTCAATCCTAACTAAAATCTCATCCTCAACCCTTCTGAATTCTAGTGTCTTCCCCTGCTGATTTTTTCTGGCATATCCTGCGTAGTGCTTGCCTGTACGTAGGTGTTTGCTTGTTGTCGCCTCCATTAGGCTGTGAGCTCCTAGAGGACAGGGTCTGTCTTTTGCTTCCTTTTGTATCTCCAGTGATTAGCACCTAGTAGGTACTTAACAAATGTTTAACAGTTGATTGATTGATAGTACTAGATTTGGAATCCCAGGACCCAGAGTCAGACCCTGACTCTGTGTGACCTCGGGCTAGTGACTTAACCTCTGCTGGCCTCAGTTTTCTCCCTCCTAATGAGAGACCATCTTAGATTTAAAGCTGGAAGGGACCTCCAAGGCCATCTAATCCAAATCCCTCATTTTACAGGTAAAGGAACAAAACAAGCATTTGTTACATACCTTCTATGCCTCGGGCACTGTGCTTAGCTTTTTGCAAATATTATCTCCTTTGATTGTCACAACAACATCGTGAGATAGGTGCCATTGTCCCCATTTTACAGTTGAGGAAACTGAGGCAGAGGTTAAGTGACTTGTCCAAGGTCACACAGCTAGTGTCGGTGGCTGGATTTGGAGTCTTCCGGATCTAGAGCTCTATCCACTGTGTCTCCTAGCTGCCTCATAAGTTTACAGAGGAGTAAGCTGGGGCCCGAAGAGACTAAGGTGCCTCTCAGCTCTGATCCTCAGAAGTTAACCAACTCCTTCTTGTTCTCAATTATAAAATTAGGGGCTTTGATCCGATTTCTGGGGGAAGAAGGGAACGTGATGCCACCTGTTCAATGAGATTTTTAATTCAAATACAAGAGAGTGTCAAAGCTGCCTCAATCCCTTGGCTAAAGGAATTTGGAAGCTTCTTAGTTGGACAAAGTTTGGGGCCACAATCATAATAAATCCAAGGATCATTTATTAAATACCTAAGGTGAGTAAAACATTATGATAGATCCTGGAGATACAAAAACAAACAAAAAGTCCTAAAATCAGTCCCTGCCCTCAAGGAGCTTGCACTCTCTTCCCTCTGTTTTTCTGATCTTTAGTGTCCATCCCAAGGAAAGGAAATACTTCCCTCCAGGCTCCTGGACTAGTGAACTAGGGCTGGCTTTGACAGGTAATGAGTGACTTTTAAAAGTATTAATTAAATTTAAAAGTATTAGTCCCGTTACTAGATTCCCCCCGGGGCCATTGTCAACATCCACCTTCCTGGTGAAGCCTTTCCCCATCACCCTGACTGCTGGGGCTTTGCCCCCCACCCACCCAATTACCTGGATATATTTTGTAAATATTTACATACGTCTCCCATAATGAATGTAAGCTCCTTGAGGGCAGGGAATGTTTCTTTTTATCTTTGTATATCGCCTTGCACTGTGCAATAGGCCCTTTATAAATGCTGGTTGATTGATTGACAGTAGGTACTTAGTAACTCTTTGCGGAATTGCATAGCTGAACTTGATTGACCGCCTAGTATGGGGGTGGGGAAGGTCAGCCAGCTAAGGCTCTTGGCCTCGGGCAGCAGCTGTACCATTCTTCCCCCGGGAGAGCGCATTCCTGTCCCCACTAGGATGGGCTCAATTCCTAGCACACCCCTCAGCCACACAGCCCTTCTTTTGTTGGTCTGGGGAAGCTTTTAAAATGCCAGGGTGGTCTGCCAGTTCAGATGGGGAGAAATCCTCCAGCCCAAGCCTCCAGTCCATGGTAGGGGGACAGCTGGGCACTTCATTGAAATAGTCCCCAAAAAGCTAATCCTTACTGACATCCTTTGCCTTCCGCACCAGTGCTTCCCATCAAGATCCCCACCTCCCCCTCCACAAGCCTGGCCTGGCCTACAGGCCTCTCACCTGCACCCCCTTTCCAGCCGCACACATACCGAGTCCTGCGGACACTGGTAACTTCCCTAAACTTGTTCCTCAATAATTAACATACTTCCACCCCATCCCAGTAATTCTGAGCCCCCCAATTACCATGGTTCAAACCCCATCCTCTGTCCCCTGCTGACTGCCCCCTTATTCCTATCCCCCTAAACCCAACCACCCCTCCCCTTCAAATCCCACTCTAAGCTACCCACCCGTTTCTCTGGGCTCTCTTAATGCCTGTTCCCTTAGTAACAAACTTGTTTTCTGCCTAGGTGCCTCTCTACCTTCCTCACCCCCTTGATCCCTCCCTCCTGAGGACACAGCTTCCCAGACCACCCTTTCCAGTGCTAGCTACCCGTTCGCTCTTTCCCCCAACTCACTGCTCATGGTAGGGCAGTTGGATTATACCTTGTTCCCCATGGTCACTTTGAGGCACTCCCTCTCCCACCATGCCTCAAGTAACCTCTCCTCCTTTGAGCATCACTCAATTCCTATCAACCCTCCCCTCCCCCATGAAGATTCTAGAAGCTGTTGTCTGCAGACCTCCAGGACACTCTCCTTCCTTCCTCAGTAAGGTCAGTGACTAGTTCACTATCATTTCCCTCTTGTCTTCATGCTAGGGTATCTCATCATATCTGTTGATATTCCTCTCTCCCTAACCTGCCAATTCCTATGTACTCATTTACCCACTTCTCTACCCTACCATAGCTACAGAGTGAAGGGCATAGTTTTGATCTTGCCACCACCCACAAATGTTCACCAGCTTGGAAATTTCTTTATCTGATCAATCTGTTGTGAGTCCACCTCTCCATCTGCAGGGCAACCCACCATGACCCCCCACCCCTCAGTTCTTTCCCAGGCCATCACACCTGTACTGGCTACACTGCCTTTCCCTGCCCAGTCTTGACCCCTTGGTGAGCCAGTTCAACTCTACCCTGCCCTCCTCTCAAATCCCTTGCCCCTTTCCCCTTTAATCGCCAATCTTGCCCTTCCAAACCCCAGCCCTGGATTACTCTCACAATCCACTGCCATTAGCTTCTACTCACACTTTACAGGTCAAAACTAGAAAAAAATTCTTGAAACCATGTTGAATGGGTCTGCATCAAGTTTACATTCTATAAACTGAATTGGGCCCTCACTGTGGCACGGCAATCCTTTTACACGTCCCTCGATGATTCACCATCAGTGGCTTTTCCACATCTTTCCATCCCTCCTCAAAACTCCTGCAGTTCCCCCTGCCCAACACTCTCAGCTGAGAGTTTGGAGCCTCATCATTCACTGAAAAAAAACCAGGGGCCATCTACAGAGCTCCCACCTTCTGTTCTTCATCTCATGCTGCTCGGAGGCATCCTCCTTCACCTGTCTCACATGAAGAGGCCAAAATCTCTCCCCTTCCCAGTACTGACCTCGGACTCATCAATACAGGAGCCAAACAGAACTTTGTAATCTTTGTATTTCTCTTGTCTTGTGGGTCACCAAGTGGACCAGTCTGGAGATGATGATGATGATGATGGTGGTGGTGGTAGTGCTTAGCTTTTCTATACTTGTCAAGGGTGGTCCTCATAAAGCAGTATGTTGCCAGAACCTTAATCAAAGCCCTTCCAGTGTGGCAGGGGTGGGGAACACTAAGTCCCTCAAGTTTGGATTCAGTCAAAGGGCTACACTTGAAGACCTAGAGGGCCACATGTGGCCTCGAGGCCACGGGTTCCCCATCCTTGGCTTATGGTCTTTGCGCAAATGCCTCCAAGAATCCAGGGTCATCTCCACACAGTTACCAGAGACAGACTTTAGGACGGCTGAATTGACTAGAGTGAGATTTTTACCATAACAGGAAAGAAAAACACCTGAAAACCATTTACTTCTCTTGGGGTTTGTTTCTAGGAATTTAATTGCAGGAGTGCCATGGGCACTTTGCATCCTACCTAAAATGAAGCCAGGGTTCAATTTCTCATTAAATAGTGGGGATTTAAATGTTTACTATGTCCCAGGCACTGTGCTACAAAGCTTAGTCTACTGGAGGAAATTTGTACACAAATGATTATGTTCTAGATCAGAAGTTCTTAACCTTTTTAGTATGTTAGGGACCTCTCTGGCGGTCTCGTAGAATCTGATCAGAATAAGGTTTTAAAATAATTTAAAGAAATGTTAAATTTCATTTAGTAGTTAGTGAAAATGAAGATGTGATTGTTTTCCTATACCAGTTCACGGACCCCATGAGTTCTAGGACAGAGTGAAGCCCTTGGGGTTAGGAAGACCAGTTTTGTGACTGTGGCCAAGTCATTTCACCTCTTTCCATACCTGTAAATTGAGATAGCTGAGCTTGGATGTGTTCTAACATTCCTTTCCAGCTAAAATAAATACAAACTTTTTTGGGGAAGGAGGAAGCACTAGGGTCAGGTCAATAAAGCCATCCCAGAGGATGCAGCACCCACACTGGGCCCTGAAGAGGAGGGCTGGGGACAGGCTGCACAAAGGCACAGCTATAGAAGACAGAACAGCAAGAACGGGGGGTAGTTCTTTGTCCTAAAATCATGAATCCAAGTGCAAACTTTTTCTTCTGTAGGAAACACACCTGAGACATAATTTGAACTTCAAAGTATCAATATATTTATTTACAAAATATACAGTTTCACAGAAACAGCTTCTCTATACACATAAACTTTATAATTACACAGAACCATGTAAACGATGTTAAGTGTCTGGCCTGGCCAAAGCCCAAGAGGGACCCCTACCTTCTGGAGACATCCTTCTCCTTCCCCTTCCCAACTCCATCAGCCACCTGCCAGGAGCCCCTGGATGGGACATACCTAATTTGCATAAAATAAGCCGATTGCAGCTGCCCCAGCTCAATCTAACACAGAAACATACTCGCCTGGCTTTTCAGACACCACCCACTGGGACAGGTCTGTCAAGGGAACAGACTGGGAACCCACTTGACAAAAATCAGGAGATGAACATTGCAGGCCTTCCCAAGAGATACTTCCATACAAGAACCCCCATGAAGCCCAGTCCCCGCACCGCCGACGGCCGTGGCTCTCTAACCATGTGCGTGGATCTCTGACTGGGGACCCTAACTTCAGCTGCCCGAGGTTTGCTTTCGAGCACTCCTTAACACTTTGTGGAATAAAAATGTCAAACACACAAACAAAAAGAGGATTTTGAAACTTTGGTTATTTCTCTTGTTGCAGAAACTAGACAGGTGGTTGAAGGGGGCAGATCTTTGGCGAATGCCTCTTGAGTGTATGGTAGATGCTGTGCCTTCATGGAAGCTGGGCGGTTTCAAAATGCACTTTTAAAATTCTGTAACCTATGATTTAACTTCGCCCTTGGGATTCTTCACGTTGGACCAGGTTTCAGAAACTCAATTTCTTTTTTCTGCTCAAATAGTAAATGAGCTTTAAAAAAAAAAAAAGCCAGCTAGGCAAGGGTGTGAAAGACACCAGACCTAAAAAGGGGCTTGTATTCAACAAAATAGGATAGCTCTTCACTGAGAGAGCTCATGCCCCTACTGTTTAAAAAAAAAAAAAAAGCCACTATGTAAAGCCCATAAGCACCTCTGTGGGGGAGGTTGGCTGAGCCCTTTTTTTTGGGGGGGGGGGAAAATAAAACTTCTAACTGCAATCCCACTTATCCTTCAAACACTTTCTGAAGAACAACATTCATTCATTTACAAGGGACGGGGTTTTTTGTTTTTGTTTTTTTTATTTTATTTTTTTAAAACAAGGCCTTGAACAGCGGCTACATACAGTTATTTGTCACTTAGTCATTAAGGAGAAAAAAGCTCAGGTCCTTCTCTTGTTAACCAAGTAACAGAATCAGCCAGTGGTTCTGCAGTGGGGATGGCCCTGGAGCAGAGACTCAACTGGGGTCACACACACCTCAAAATCCCCTAGACTTCCCATAGCCAAACACAATCAGGATCTTCCTGCTGTGGACCACATCAGGAGTTTCAAAGCTATAGAGGCTGGGGATCGGTTAACAGGACCTTGCACAAATGCCACGAAACACCCGAGTGCCAGTATTCAGACAACACTCACCAAGTAAAGAAAGCAAGGGCTTTTAAATTCTAACCTTGCTCTGGGGATGCCTCAACCTGCCTTGGGAAAACAGGGATCCCTGGCTTTGCTCAGGACATTTCTTATTTAAATAAGACCACTACTAATCTCCAGTGATAACTGCCTCTATCATGGTACAGGGTCGGTACTCTTTGGGGGAAGAAATGAGGAAGGAACCAGCCTGCTGCCACTCACTCTGAAGAGAGCACCTCCACTCTGCATCCCAACATGTCCCCGAGACAAAGGGGACACCAGGCAGGAAATCTGCCAGACTCAGTTTGGCTGGATCGTGCAAAAAGAAAAAAAAAAAAAAAGAAAATAGAGGGAAGAAGGGAAAAGAAAATTCTACATCATGCAAAATGGGAACTTGTATCAAGGACTCAAGCCCCCTTCATCTAAGAGACCATCCTGGCTCTGCCCCAACAGAAGCAGCCCTGCGCGATTCCTCTAAATACACCAGGAGAGCACTGGAAGGAGAAATCACTGGCCCAGACTCTCCCCATAGCAAGACCGGAGGAAGCCACTTGCACGTGACGTAGGATGCCCCCCTCTCAGGCAGAGGCAGCAGGCTAGGGAGCTGTTTGCTAAGAAAAGAGCAATGTTAGGCTACCTATACAGACACTTATGGTAAAGACTTATACTCGGGAAGCTTAACACATATGGCTGTTCACTTGTTGAATCCTTGGAAACCAGAGATGTGGTCCTCCCTCTGGGGAGGACTGTCCCCGTCCCCACCCTCACCCTCACCCCCAGCCCCACCCCAGCAGTCCAAAGTGGGGGAAAAGACTCACAACCATCACATACCCTCATTTGGAGCTCAACACCAGGGTGCCGAGTCTGCTCTGGCTGCGGAGCACAGGGCCCCAGCAGCAGCTTTGGCCAACAAAGATTCTACGTCGTCACCAACTATGTACAGTTTTTATGTACCTTGGACAACCTGTCCTTCTGCTTAGGCACCTCGATGTCAGAAGGGCAAGGATGGCGCACCTCGCGCTAACAGTTCTGTGCTCAGATTCGGAAAAAGTGACCCCAAAGAACACCCACCGGCCCTTCTATTCCTTCCTTTGAAGTCATGCCCCACCCCAGTCAGTCCAGAAAGAGCTTCCGGGAACCCATTCGGGAACGGTTGGAGCGGCGGATGTCAAACTTGGAGTCCCGGCACTTTTGGCAAACAAACACTTCGGGAACATTGGATTTCCGGATTTTTGCACAGGACAGGTGGATCCAGGTGTGGCACTCATTACATTCAATCATCGGTCGCCCAGCAAAAGGTTTCATGCAGAAACAGGTGACGAGGTCCCAGGAATCGTCATCTAAGTAAAACAGAAATTGGTAAGTAAGGATGTGGAGGCAGAGAGAATGAAAACCTTCCTGCTTCCTTTGCTAACAGATCTGAAATCGGCCCCTTCAAGGGGCCCAGACAACCTCCCTCAGCTTAGACAGGGCACAGCAGGACGTGACACCATCCTGGCTGTTCGGAAATCTGAGGTTCATTTTGTTTTTCCCATTAGCTGCATTTTGTTTTTAATATTTCAGATGAAAGCTCTTCAATTCTCACTTACCAAGTCCTGCCTCTGGCTTGGTTCATTCTCTTTCCTAAAGGGTCTTTACTCACCTTATTTAAATGGTATTTTAAGGTTAAGGTTCACCACAAATTTTACTATGTTCTCTCATTTTATCCTACAACAACCCTGGAGAGTTGTACCATTATGGTAGGGTATGAGGGGTGGGGCTCTTATGGGCCCCCACTTTACACATGAGGAAACTGAAGCTCCCCCAGGGTCCCACAGCTCGTATGAGCGTCTGAGGAAGGATCTGAACTGGGGTCTTTCTGACACAAGGCCTGGTGCTCTTTGCCCTCTCAGCCTGGCCAGTCGGGAGGGGCACCTACCAGAGTCCACCATGATGTCCTCATCGTTCCCAGTGCTGTCTTCGTCCCGGAACACCACCTGTTTGCCCTGCCGTATGACAGTCCGTTTGCCTTCTGTCTGAATCTCCTTGACCTCCTCGGGGGTGGCCGCCGCACAGGAGCCGCTAGAGCGGGTGTCAGAATCCCAGCCCGAGCACGGGTCACTGCTGGCCGTGGGCACGTCCTGCAGGTCAGGGCTGGCGGTCCTCTGGGCAAAAGCGTCGGCCGGCTCCAGCTTCAGCAGGCCCCCCATGTACTCCTCTTCCATGGGCACGTCTGCATCCCTCCGCTTACGCTTCTTCTTCTTCTTCAGCTTATCCGTCTTCTTTCTGTCCATGAGGAAGTTGCTGGGCTTGGCTCGCTGCAGAAGGGAGGGCTGCAAGTGGCCAAAGCACCGGTCTGCAACAGGCAGGGACACAGACGAGGGCAGGTCGGCAAAGCTGGCATCCCAGCTGTCACTGTCGATGGTCCCGGCTGTGCTGTTGGCAGGGCTGGGGCTGCTCCTCAAAGGCGGCTCCTGAAAGAAAAGAAATAAGGCCTGGCTGAGCAGGGCGAACACCCTGGCAGGTCCTGCGCCCCCCGGTGCATGGCCATTGAAATGGGGGACTCATTTCTCTTCCGAGTCAGGAAACGCCTCCGAATTTCTGAACCAACTAAACCATCCCACACCTCCCTGAGTGCATCAGAGTCATGACCCTTAGTTATCTCAGACATAGAAGGGCCCTCGGCAGCTCTCTGGTCCAACCCAATCACAAGCAGGATTCTTCTCTACAACACGTTCGACAAGTGGCCCTGCGGCCTTGGCCTTAAAGTCTCTGGGGAGGGGACCCATCCCCGAGGCAGGTCATGCCACATCTACGTAGCTACTACGGGACATCAGAGCTCATCAAAGTTTTCTGTCTTAAAATGGATTCCCCGAAGACCTACTGTTTGACTTTTAAGGCACCCAGCTCTCCTTATCTTGTTTTCATCTGATATAGATATTAAGCCATTTTTGAATTAAAGATAATTTTAATTAATTCTGTTTTGAGACTTTCCTGACAGCCCCTGAGAGAATTGGAGACATCCTGAAATCTGTCAGAACCAGAGCTATTTACATTGACTGACACACTAGGTGACAGAGTGGATACAGCACTCACATGTCTGGGCCTCAGAAATTTCCACCTCTGTTAAATGAGGCTGGACTAGATAACCCACAAGGTGCCTCCTGGCTCTAAATGTACAATACTGTGATTAACTTTGCCATATTTAAAAGTTCCTAGAAACATAAAGTATTACATGTGTATGTACATGCAAATGTACAGCTTAAACATTATCACTGTGTCCTAAAATCCTTTCAAGTCTTACTTTATAAAAGAGCTTCTTCAGGTATTTGGGTCCAGGGTGCTTGAACTTCAACTCTTTAAAGGCTAGGATGCCTCATGAGGCACTTAAAACAGAAAAACTTGAAACTTTTCTCAAATGGCTCAAAAGCGTAACTGAAGTTTTATGAAGACTTTTGCTATAAAAGAAAGTGCTGGGGATTACCTCCGTTGGATAAGGGATGTAACCAGCATATGCCAAGACAAAGGTACAAAACTTGTTGAAATCCTCCACAGTTCGCCGCCTCTTGTAACTGGGGGAGTATTCCTGTTAAGATAAGAAGGAAGCACATTTAGAAACTGAAAACTTGAATTTAGAATAGCAGCAACCAACCCCTCCAATCAGCAGAGAGTTGGAGAAAAGCCTTGATTTCCAAGCAGGCAATCTTTTACTATTTTGTCAATTAACCCTTCTGCCTCTGACTCCTCATCTACAAAACGGGAATAATAATCAGCACTTAGATCACAATGCTTAGTGGAGTGGAAAGGAAGCTACCTGGATTCAAGCCCTGTCTCTGACACACATGAACTATATGACCCTGGACAGGTCACTCCATCTCTCCACACCCTCTAAGACACTGATATGCTGAGCAGATGCTGTCCTGGATTGGTAGAGGACTTTCCTCACCTGAGAGTTCCCTAACCTGAAGAAATTAATCTTTACTAAGCACCTACTCTAGGCCAGGCACTGTATTAAGTGCTATTTGGTCCCTATTCCTAGCCTATATTGAATTGTAAAGATCAAATGATAATATAAAGTACACTGCACACCTTAGAGATATTATATATAGAGAGATAATCAAATACACATATATGAACATAAAGATATCACTTTATACACAGACACAGGACAGCTACTGTTTTATTCTGAAATTCTTCAGAGTCAGGAAAAAACCAAGTCTAGGACTAGAGAAAACAGTGTTTTCAGATAAAAAGATCCAATCGAAAGGAGCCCAGCTTCTCCAATATACCAGGAAACTAGTCAAGATATATTATAGCACTTGCTGTTTGCAAGGCTACTTAGAGCATTTAAAATTGGGTTTACACTCCTGATTTGGCCATTTTCCACCTTAAACCCTTTCTCTCCCTGCTACAGCAGCTAATACACAGTTCTTTAGGGCCTAAAAAATGGCAATTTTCTTATTCTCTTGGTTTGGGGACACTTCCCAGAGTTATCCCAACTTCTCCTAGTCTCCTTGCACATTTTAAGCCAGTGTAGGAGACATGTGAACATGAAACAGTCACCCCTCAAAGATTTCAGTGTTGGCCCAACCTTCTCCCACCTTGGAAAAGGAGCTTATTTTGTACCAGGCAAAACCTGCATGAAGAAGGGCTCATTCAGGCTATAAAGTGCCCTGAACGGTATGCCCTAGCCATCCTTCTCACATCGCTGATTCTGGAAGGGGTCAGTTGCTCTTCCAGTGCAAAAAGCCAGAGCAGCCAGTAGCTCCTCAAGGGCAATTGATTGTGGGGGGAAATGCAGCTGCTTCAGCTACTGGGCCCATCTCTTATCCTGCATGAAGTCTCTATCATATTCTCCTCCCCAGGACACAAAGCTACCAGTGAAAGCAGCAGGAACACAGTAGCATGGCATTCGGGAGATTTCCCTACAAGCCTCAAAATTTATGTTATGTATTGCTTCTTTCGGAACTACTACCTTCCAATCCTTCAGTTTTCAGGCATTTCTAACCATTGGGGCAGCCCAGCCCATCACCTTTAGAGGGATTGAGGGTGGCTGCACCGACCACCCCCAAGCCTCTAGAAAAATTACCCTGGGCCCTGCCCTCAGAACTTTAAGGCAATGCAAAAACACAGTCAGGGTAAAATGTAAGTAAGTGGGTCAATAACCAAGGAAAAGTGAGAAGTGCAGAGCCCAAAGAACTCAGGCAAAGGTTAAGCTGAATCCCTGCTCTGCCTGCTCTGTCCAGTCATTAGTCTGGGGCTCCAGCCTGGCCTGAGCAGAAGGGGGCTCCCCCAAAGAAATTGGCTGGAGAAGAGTCCTCTGGTCCAGGCCAGGCTTTCCTGCATCTGCTTAAGGTCTCCAGTCTGAGCTGGCTGAAGTCGCCCCTCCGCAGGATTTCCCCAGTCTACCTGACTCTGTCTGCTTCCCCCAAAGATGCAATAACCGCCTCCTCCCTACGCTCCCCAACCTTGACCTGGGCAAATTTCTCTCCTTTTCGCAACCCCTCCCCCCCCATCCCCCGCAAGCCAAAGCTTGGTAAAAGAAAGGGGGGAGGGGGGGGAGCCAGGAGAAGGAGGAAAAGAACCTCCAGGCTGGGCTGACTGACTCTGGGCAGCTCTGCTTTTCAACCACCAGCTAGGGTAAGCGCAGGGGGTAAAGGAGCTTCTTTGCGGGAGAAGGGGCCACTGAAGCGGTGCACCAAGCAGCCCAAAAGGGGCGATCCCAGTTCGGCCTCGTTCCCCTCCCCCACCACCCCGGCTGGCCCAGGGATCCCGGGACCCGCCCCCGGGGACAGAGGGGCGGAGAGCTGGGGGAGGGGGTATAGCGACTATGGGGTGGGGGGGAGAGGGATTCCCGGGACTGGGAAGGGGGTTGGGAAAGAGGGGAGTTTCGAGGGGCCAAACCCGCTGAAGGTGGGGGAGGCTAGACGCTGGAGGGATCCGAGAACCCAGCGGGCGGGAGAGAAAAGGGATCGAGGCCGGGGAGGGGAGGAAAGGAGGAGATGGAGGCCGGAGGCAAGAGGGTGCTGAGGCTGGGGGAGGGGGTTGGGGGGGGGAGACGGGGACGGGGACGCAGGTGGTCGAACCTCCCGAATAGGGGGAGGGGAGTCGAGAGGCAAAAAGAGATCCAATACCACGAGTGGAGGGGAGGGCCTGAGAGTAGCGGGAGGGGATCGAGGCCCCCTCCCTCCTTCGGGAAAGGGCCACGAAAGGCAAGAGGGAATGGGGGGGGCGAGTCGCCACGAGAGGCAGGAGGGGATCGAGCGAAGGAAGGGGGCCACGAGAGGCAAGACGGGAGGGGGGGGGCGCAGAGGGGACCACGTCGGGGAGGGAAGGGGCTACGAGAAGCAGGAGGGGATCGAACCAGGGAGAGGGGAACGCCACGAGAAGCAGGAGGGGATCGAGCGGAGAGGGGGGCGGCTCGAGAAGCTAGAAGGGATCGAGCCCCCCAAGGTGGGGGGCTCGAGAGGAAGGAGGGGATCGAATCCTAGGAATGGGTGGGGGGCCCGCCAGTGGAAGGCGGCGCAGGAGCCTCCGGAGTGCGGGGCGGGGACGCAATGGAAGGAGGCGATCGACTGGGGGGGGGGGGGAGGGGGGGGGATCCAGACTCCAAGGGGAGCCCGCGGGGGGGGACCGGCGGGGGGGGCGGGGGGGGGGGGGATTGGGGGAGACAGGAATGGTAGATGACCGATACCCCCCAGGAAAGATGCCAAGCCCCCAAAGGGGGCGGAGGGCACCGAGGAGGGGAAGAAAAGAGGAAGGGGGTGGGGACGCGGAGGGCCGAGCTGAGGAAGGGGACCGCAGGGACGCCCCCTGGGGCGGGGGCGCGGGTCAAGGGGGGCCAAGCTGAGGGGAAAGGCCGAAGGAAGGGGACGCGGCCCCGAGGGGGCACCGGGCGGGAGGGCCGGGGGCCCATTGCACCCGGCGGCCGCTGCACTCACCTCAGGGTGGAAGGCGGAGGCGCACGAGTCGGCGTCCATGTTCCTCGGGGGCCGGGGGCGGCGAAGGTCCTCGGCGCGGCGGCGGTGGCGGGGGGCTCTGGGGTAGGGCTGGGGGGGGATCGGGGGTCCCGCCCTCGGCTGCCGGCGCCCGGCACCGCTGGGTGGGTTTTTGGGGCCAGCGAGGGGGGCGATGCAGCCCCAGCCGAGGCTCAGGTTCGGCGCGGCTCGGCGGGCAGGGGCGCTACGGGAGGGAGGCGGCGGCGGCGGCGGCGGCGGGGAGCGGGGAGCGGGGAGCGGGGAGCGGGAACCGGACCGGCTCCCGACCTGACGCCCAGTTCGGCTCGTGTCTCGGGAGGGCGGGCGGGAGCACCGCTAGATCTGTCGGGAAATGTAGTCTCGGGGGCGGTGGAGCGGCCGGGGACGGGGGGAGGGGGTGAAAAAGAAGCCGCGAAGGCCTCTGGGAAGCGTAGTTCCGGGTCTCGCGGAATCGGCGCACAAAGGCCCGCCAAGAGACTCCAGCCCCCATGAAGCTGTGCGGCGGCCGGCAGCGGCGGAGGTGGAGGCGGAGGGTCTTGACGAAGGCAGGCGTCTGCAGCTGGGGGAGGGGCACTCGGGAGCGGGGGAGGGGCGGGAGCTCGCGCCGCCGACTCTGCCTATGGGGGAGGGGTGGCGCGCCGCGAGACCCCTCCTCAGAAGCGGGAGTCGGGGCGCACTTTCCCCCCCGAGCTGCTGCCGGGCGTGAGGCTCCCAGCCTGGGCCTCGGAGGCCAGGATGGAGGCGGGGTCTATCTTTCCTTTTTTGGGGCGGAGGTCCCTCTCAGTGGTGGGGGAACGGGGTTGCCGAAGGGGGTGTGGTGGGGGGACGGGGTTGTTTGTTCTGCACCTTCGATTTGGAGGTGGGGGGAGCTTTTTGAGGGGGACCTCCTCCCCTCCTGCAGACCTGCTCCCCGCCACACACCCCCTTTTAAAGAAGAAAAAGAGGCGGGTCACCCCCTCCTCCTCTCCCCCTTCCTCGTTTTCTTTCACCCATCCCCCTTTTTTTGAGGGGCACAGAAGCAGTTCTCCCGCTGTATTCCCCCCCCCGCCGCCCCGGGGGGGGGGGGGGGTTCCGGGGCCCCTCCCCTCGGGGGGGGGGGGGGGGGTGCTGGGTGCTGAGCTCCCTGTGGCCTCGCCCTGCATTTGGTCTTACTCCTCTGGTGTGTGCAGTCTGCAGGTTGCCTTCGGTCTATCCCCGCATTTCCTGGTGAAGTTGTCTTGTTGTTCATTCCTTTGATTGGCTCTGCTCCTCCTCCTTCTCCTCCTCCCTTCTCCTCCTCTTCTATCTCTCTGTCTCGGTCCCTCTGTCCCATCCCCCCCTTCTCTCCCCATCTCTCCCTCCCTCCCCTCTCTTTCTCCTTTTTCTTGCTCACTCTTTCCTTTTCTCCCTCTCCCTCCGTCACTCCCTTCTTTCACGTCTCTCTCTACTCTTCCTCTCTTTTCTTTATTCTCTTTTTCCTTTCCTCCCTTCTCTCCCTCTCCCATTACTTCCTTTTCACTTTCCTCTCTCCTCTCTTCTCTTTCTCCCTCTCTTCCCTTTTCTCTCCCTCCTCTCCTTTTTTTCCCTTTTCTCCTGTCCTCTTTTATCTATTTTTCTTTTTAACTCTTTCCTACTCGCTACCTCTGTCACTGTCTTCTATCTCCCTCCTCTCCCCTTCCTCTCCTTCCTTTTCTTTTTTTCTCTCTCCTCCCTCCCCTCCCCTCCCCCCGGTTTTTTAAAGGCTACACTTCAACGTGATAGTATTAGAACAACATTAAGAGCACTTTCTTCTTTCTTTCCTTTCCTTTTTACACAAACGTAACCAGCAGTCACTTCAGGTGAAATGCTTATTATGTGTTTTTGGTTTTCAGTCCTTTTCCAGGAATAGTTTTACCCAGTTTATATGTGGGGCTTTCTTCACGTATTTCATTATTTTAAACTTGAGCTTTGCCTGTTCTCCTTGCTGATGGAATGGTTTTCGGAAAATGTTTAAAAATTGCAAAAATTAAGGGTTGAAACAGTATGTTGTGCTTATTGTTTTGGTGGGTTTTACTTGGATTTTGTTCCCTCTGGTTGGATTCCAGTGTGTACTGTGGAGTATCTCAGGACAATTTAAAACTACTAGTCCTGGGCCATAGGCTTCAGAGCTGAAAAGAACCTTAAGAATGGAGGCTCAGAAAAATGGAACTTGCCTACAGGATGTAAGCAAGTAGGCCTATCCTCTTAATATTTTAGTGACCATTTGATAGAAGAAATAGAGAACCTGTTTACAGATGGCATATATGTTTAAATGACTTCCTAACCTCCTGCTGTGAAGAAATAATGTAAAAGAAGCCAGAAGGATCAGTGTAAATGAAATCTATGTTAACAAGAAGGGCCTAGAACAAGACATTAAATTCAGCTCACAAAGCAGCCTTTTGGAAATAAATCATTAAAAAAAAAACTAACTGAAGGGTGCAAATGTTTTGAAATGGGAGAGTGGTCCTAGATCTGCAATGTGAGACAATAATAGAAAAGTTATTTTGGGGGTGATCAGTGTTATTTTGGGGGTGATAGTGCTCTCTCTGAAGCCTGCTACCTTCCTTTTATGGACAGTGCCTGGAGCTTAGTAGGCGATTATTAAACTCTGGTGGACTTAGACTCACAGAGGATAGTGAAAAGTGGACAGCCTCTCACCCTTCTCCAGCCCCAGAGCCATTATGGGGGAAGGAGGCCATGGGCCATGCTCATGCTCAGTACATGAAGTGAACAAACTTGGCCTCCCTGATTTGTTCATTTCAGCTGTTGAAGCAATGTGTCCAGAACACTGATGTTTCCCCTTTGCCTACAGGCTACATCACACCTTCTGTGGTTGGGTTCACCAGCCACAATGGTGGGAAGTAAGGGGCTGAAGTAAGCCAGAGCTAAGAGGCATGGATAAGATTGGGTTCTGCCAGTGTCTGGAAAGGGTAAACAGTTTATTGGGCCTTAGTTCCGTCATCTGTCACTTCTAAGGTTCCTTACGGCTGATGGGGTGAGTTGCTTGGCTTTATTTCTCTCACAGGGTCATTATGAGCAAAGAAACTTTAAATGGAACTGTTAAGCATCTATACGTTGCCAGATTGTGCTAAATGCTGGCCCTCAAACACAAAGTCTCTGACATCAAGCATCATTTGCATTTTGCTAGGGAAGATGCAGCATGTTCACTCGAGTAAATACAGGATGTATAAAAATAATTAAAGTTATTGAGGAGGGGGAGACTAAGGCCTCTAGAAGGAGGTGGCCCCAAGGGGACCCTGGAAGGTACGTAGGAATTCCAAGAGGTTGGGAAAGCTTTCCAGGCATGGGAGGACAAGAAGGAGGAGAGGAGACATGAAGTCTGGGGAAAGAACCAGTAGACCTCTTTGGCCAGAGCAGGGGATTACAGAAATACTAGACCCTCCAATATTCTAATGGAAAGGTCCTTTTTTTTTTTTTGGTTCATAGATCCTTCTCAGAATAATTTTATAAATACATAAAATGCATATGATTGTCAAGGAAAAGTTATATTGAAATGGTGCAGTTATGAAATTTTTTTAAAAATGAGTTTCTAGACCCCCGCTAAGACCTCCTGCTGCACTGTGATCCTCTGGAGGAAAGGGATATGGATCCTGACCTATTTATGCCAGCACAGAGCATCACAGTTTTAGATCTGGAAGGGATCTCTCCCTTCATTTTAGGTATTAAACTGAACTTAAAAGTGTTACCCCAAATCACACAAGTGCTAAATAGAGAAGCTGTGATTTGAACCCAGGGCCTCTGACTTTCACCATCTTATTCAGTTCTCATTCTTGTCTTCTGTAAATGTACCCTTGGGAGTCACAGAATCCCAGAATCAGAGCTGGCAATCCAAGCCCACATCCTCATTTTAAAGATAAAGAAACTGAGGCTTAGCTTAAATTTTGAAATCAAATCCTCAGATTCTAAATCTGGTGGTGTTCTCAGCACTCCTTTAGAATCTCACAGGTTAGTTATGGGTTAGACAAATAAATACAGGTTAGAAAACCTCACCAGAATGAGTAGGGAATTATTTTTATATCAGAATCATCATGGTTCACATTTTTATGATCTTAGCATTTTCTTCACAATATCCCTGTCAAGTAAGTAGTGCATGTATTTTAGGTTCCATTTTTCAAATTAGGAAACCACTGTTTACAGATAATTAGTATAGGCATATTCTACAATCATAAAATCTCAGCTTTGGAAAGGCCCTCAGACTCATGACAAATGGAATGATGACCTCTGAGGGCAGATTGTGATGTATTTTGTCTGGACACATAGTCGTTGAGGGAATTTGTTTTGCTTGACTATACATTTTTGTAATAAGTTTGGTTTTTTTCCCCTTTCACAACTGGGGGGAGGGGAGAGTTGGCTTCTCATTTGAAAAAAAATTAATTTTTAAGTTAAAAATCAACCTGTGAGCAATTCAGAATTGCAATTGAACATCTAATCTCTCTCCTACCATTCTCCCCTCCCACAAACAAAGGATCCCAGACCAAGTCTACTCATACCTGAATAGATATTCTCTCTACAATATACCTGATATCCAGCCTCTGCCTGAAGAGCTCCAATGATGGGGAACTCTTCCCCATTCTAGAATGCCGCTCATCACCAAAAGCACCTCCCCTCAGTTGAAGCTTAAATCTGTTTCCCGCCAATCCTAGCAGGATTCAAATCCAAGTGGCTGACTCCCAGCCTGCTCTGTGTGTGTGTCCTTTCCCCTTGTTAAATTGTGAGCCCCTTGAGAGCAGAGAATGCCTGTTTTTTCTACTTCTATCCCCAGTGCTTTGCACATAGCAAGCATCCAATGAATGCTTTATCCTTTATTTCACTCTCCACAACAAAGGGCTGCTACTGCTTTTTGTTCGTTCAGTATTCTAGTGCAAATTTTACAAATTAAGAAACTGACACCCTGGAGGTAATGTCTGGGGCATGATAAGAGACTGCCCAATTTCTTCCAGTGTTTATTATTTAAAGTAAAAGCAGAAATAATAGTTGGCATTTCATGAAGCACTTTATTAACAGACCACTGTCCTCCCAAGAATCT